CTGCAACCCCACAAGGCAGTATCACCTGCTGTGTGGGGTCCGACATATAATAGTTACAGTCGATGTACAGTTGAGCTTAAAGCGTTCATGGTGAAGCATAAGACCCGGTCACCAAAGCCTGGAAAGATCCACATTGCAAACCAGTGGAACCGATCTGGGCTGAATCCAGTTGGGTGATGTAATCATTCTTCCGTCGCAATCTTCACTGCTTACTATTAGCCCCATGATTTCTGGAAGTGCTGCTCGGTCAACTTCACTCATGATGAAGGATTAAAGTTGGAATGCTGTTGCCTGTGGTTGTACATTCTCAGACGTCTTTGCAAGGTACGTTCATAGATAACGTAAATAGCACGTGGGTACTGGCGAATACTTAGATATTGAGGCGCTCGGATATGTGTGTCGTGGATGTACAGGAACACAGAACACGAATTCACATGTGTGTTGTGGAGGCTTACTTCTTACAAGTAAATTTGAGTGAGGACGTCATATTCTTACATGTGGACTTATGAAATCTGTAATGGGCTCTAATCGTCAGTGGACTTCTCTCCATCCTCTACATGTCCTGCATACTTCAGACACCATGGAATGTCTATGATTACTCATGTCTGTGAAACATTCCTTTCACAGCCGATGTGACACTGCGTTCCCATCATTAACGAGAAGTTTTTTGTTGTCGAATTATATCGAACATTCCTTCAATAAACTGTAGATTGATGGAGCTGGTTCACACTTATAAATTAGATGAATATGTTTGCAACTGTTTGCTATCTCTCCGTTTTCTGTGATAAGACTGGAATAATCTTACGGAGGTTGAAGGTGGCCGTGTAGCCAGACATCTATTTGGATTCATATACATACTTTCCCACTGCCCCTGCAACCTCTAACACCATGTCAAACTCTAGAATAGTTACCGTCTTACGTGTTATTTTCGTGAAATTCTTAAATTTTAAGTCCCCTGAAACTTTAATCGTCAAGCTGTATGAATTTCCAGCTCAAATTTGAGCATCATTTTCAGACAGCACTTCCAGACGAATGAATTAGACAACGAACATCAGATGCTAGTTGTCTTAGGGAGTGTAGGAGAATGCCGCCATAGACCAAGTCGACCATCTGCCCAGCACGTTAATGCCTTCGGAGGAGATAAAAGGAGAAACTTTTCAAATTCTGCTTCATAAATGAAGTCTTTGTGAATTGATTTCTTCGATACCAATTCGAGCAATATGTCCATAAAACTGGAAGTTTTATGTACATGGTATGAAGGTTATTGTGGTAATCCATTTTTTGTTTTTCGTCAAAACTAAAACATTTTTGAATAGTAAATACCGTGATAGTAGTTGTAAATAGTAATCGGTACGCAAAGCCAAAGTAAAAAGAGTATCGAGTACAGTCAAGGGGTTTTGGGTTTAGGACACAGTTTAACGCTTGGAATGGAACGGGCGGTTTACGCTGCAGGACTTGCTTCGAGCACCTTCGGCGTTAGATCACTCATAACTTCTTCAATTCTTAACTCCTTGAGTTACTTAGGGTCTCGTTGGAAAGAACTTGACGCTCTGGTTCTAACGAGCCCAAGAACGCCTAGAACGGATGAGGACTCAGGGAGTTGTGACTGTCGGAAGATGCGAAGGAGAACGCCTACGGATAGGCGGAAGTAGTTCGTCGGCGGAATATCCGCCTTCGGCCCTAGATGTTCGCCTTCCGTGACGGACGTCTTCGGGTCAACTTCAAGTCGGCGAACTCGGAGTCGGCGAAACATCGTGCGGCGACTTCGGCGATAACAGATAACAAGCCTTCGACAGTGTGCCTTCGGCGAAGGATAAAACCGGCATAACTCTTTCAACTCGTAACGGTTTGACTCAGTTAGGGTCTCGTTAGAAAGAGCTCAACGCGCTCGTTCCAACGAGCCCAAGAACTCTTGAAACGGATCAAGAATCTGTGAGTTATGGGTGTCGGGAGTGACTGTTACAAATTGGCAACGGTGCGGAAATGCGTCTTCGGCGGTCAACGCCTTCGGCGAACTCGAGGTCGGCGAACTTCAAGTCGGCAAACTCGGGGTCGGCGAACCGGATGAGGTTCAGAGATCTCGCGGAGTCCATATCTTTGCGATGGACGGTCGGATGGATCTGAAATTTGGTGGGGCCGTTGATCTCAGTCGGCCACGCATGCCTGCAAATATTCAGCCTCAGATCTTGGATGTAAAGACGCTGGCGGCTCTGTACAGTAGGCTTAGGATTCAGATTTAAGGTTAGGGTTAAATTTAGGTTGTAAGTTAGAGTGGAAGGCAGCCGCCGACTCCTCAGGTGTAGGATCTGTTGCGGCTCGCACCCTAGCGGATAGCGTAGTGTTAGTTAGGACCTTAGAGGGTATAAAGTAGTTCAAGGCGTTTTGCCTTGGGATTCTTCCAGTTTCGGATGTGCAGATCAGGAACTCACTTTCTCGGCGTGTTTGTGCATTTGGTCTTGGCACCACGTAGAGGAGCTACAACTTAGTGAAGTTACAGCATTTTGTAGTTGAAGGCCTTCGGCTGAATGTTCAGAGCTAGTATACCGGTTAGAGACTTGAGTAGTGCGGATCTGCACCTGCGGGTGATTTCTGATGCTCAGAGCCGGTTGCGAGTTAGATACTTGAACAGTTCCACCTTACACCTTCGAGTGACATATCCTGATTGTACTCCTACGGGAAGTTTCCCCTGAATGCTAAAGTGAAGTTTTGTTACTTCGTGTAAACCTTGGTTATCAATTCAGGTTAGGTGTGTGTGTTACTGGATTGTGTCTCAGTTGAGTTCTCAGTCAGACCTGTACTCTCTGCGTTTAGTGTGAGTCGAGGGTGACGTCCACCGCGTATGAGTGACTTCGTTCCGAAGTGGGAAGTCCAATCCGGGTTCCTTACGCTAGCAGAAACTAGCGGGAGGGTTGTAAAAGCCGGAGTGGGAGTCACTACCTGCAGAGCCTCTGAGTGTACTTTTGAGAGACTTTCCCCCTGAAATCCTAAGCGGAGGTCCTGACCGACCTCCGAGTTGTGTTTTTCCAGTTTCAGGTGTGTGTGTGTTGAGTGCACTGTGCATCCTCCGAGTCGAGCATCCTCCGAGTGGCCTCCGAGTCGAGCACTGCAGTATTTCTTGGAGTGTTGGAGTGACAGTCGCCTGAGAATTCAAACTCTCCAAAAATCTGTTAAACGTGACACTTTGTACTCTGTGTGTTGCCTCTGTCTCTGTGGGTTTGATCTTTTTACCACCATACTGCAGTTTTAGCCTTTGGTGGGTTATTATAGTTATAGTTAATTATAGTTACCCGAAAAAATAAGCATATCCTTGGGACTGTGTGCTGACAGAATCCTCAATAACAGTTCCAACATTCCTTACATCCATGGAGTGTGCTCACTCACGTGAAGCTAAAGGCCATGATATATATTTACTTCTAGCACTTGTGCTTGTCATTGGCTCTTTGTAAGAGAACGAAAGTGTCGACCTTCAGTACGACATCACGGGCTACTAAAGCCAGATTATCCGCGCATGACTCTTCACCAGGACATGTCATTTCAACTGTGGCCTTGACTGCGTCGTCCTCTCCGAGTCATATGGGAGAGCCAAATGTTGGTCGTGCAGCTTTCTCTGCCGAATTGGACGCTGAATCGGGGAGTACCGATGCCGCCCAACCCTGAACGCTTTACAAAATTGTCTTGCAATTTAGAGATTTATGAGCGCGTGGTGACGATGCAAGCTTTTATTTCAAAAACACTGTAGCGATAAATGCGTATGAAGTTTAGCACCTAAAACCAGATATTGAGCTGAGAGGAAGAATGCAAAGCTTGACTAAGGACAAATGAACAGTCCCGTGAAATTTGTCTGCAATAATTGCTGTCTAAACACTACGAGATCGTTATAATTCCCTCCATGACCAGTGGAAGACAAGTAGTACATCAAGGAGAGATGAAGAACGTTTGATCGTTTCTGACTTGATGATACGGATGATGCTAGGAGCTTGGGGAAGAACTTCGCTGGTGGTTCGAGTGTTCCATGAGTTGCACTAGCAGTCGTTATACCACCAGTCTTGAAAAAGATGTCGGCGAAGATTCTTCGATCTGGATTGTTTGCACGCTGGTCTTGATAACAGCTTGATGTTTCGAGGCGCACGTGATGCTGTTTTGATGTGATTCAACCTTAGCTAGAGCTAATAGTGAGTAGCAATTCAATCCTAGCTGAGCTGCCCGAAGACTATACACGATGCACGTGGACCTCAGTCGTTCAAACATCCTCCGGAATTCGGTGTTCATCCTCTACAGGAATGTTGATACTGCAACCATGAATATAAGATCATCTGCTGTTCTCAATCATATGAAACAAAAAATTATTTTAAACTCAAAGCTGAAATTAATTTTATTTTACACAAATTCGTGTCAAAAATTTCAAAAGAAAACTGCCATATAATAATTAGCTCTAATCAGCAATCACAATTATTCATTCTATCAAGAAATTGTCAATCAGAGTATAGCAGAGGGGTCAAATGCTTACATTGTCAATAATGTAAGATGGTCATATCAACAGCATAATGCTTGGCGATGTGTAATTCAAGGAGTCCATTTAGTGTTTGAATATTCCAGTCGACCTGTGACATCTAACTTGATTTTCGGTACACCAATCACAATGTCAAAAACAATACACACAATGTTAAAACACTTCTGCAGATAAACAAAACCGTTGTGATCCACAATCCGCCGTGCCATCAGCGAGAGCTTGCGGTATAGCTCTACGTCAGGCTGATGGAACTCATCTTCACTACTAGAGCTCGAGACATCCTGCAAGCAGGTTGCGCATTTTCAGGATCAAGGCAGCCAACGTTGCTTCGAAGGCCATATTTCCCAAGAGAGAGAGACACCACTGAAACCACCACTTCCCTGGGCTCGATGAGCTTCCTCATGTTTTGAGGATTCTTCTCGGTCATTTGTGAATCTCAGGTGCTCCCGGACTGAAATCACATCTTGTCGAGGCAATTTCCACTGTCTCCATTGCTTGACGTTGATAACAGAACATTATTAGGAGTGTCCGGATCGTGGCAATCTGGTCTTGTACAGACATATATCATACATAGATCGAAGAAAGATCTTCAAAGATTTTATTTGGATCTCGCCGCATGGAAATGAACGGCAAGGTATGAAGAGTGTTAGTCAATTAATCGTCCGTACAATTGTCACCTAACTAAGTGCAAAGTATTATAAAAATTTATCGTACTTATGCTTAAGGCTCATTTAATCTATCGTTCTTTTAAGGAATCCACTCCTTGCAATTTAGCGATCGCATTCGCCGGTCCCAAGGAGCTGCCTACCAGTCCAGTCAGACATCGGTAGAGTGCCGAGGTACCATTCGTACCCGGCAAGCTTCTGCCCTTATCGATCTGTCGCACTTCGAATGCAATGAAGAGTTACACGACAGTTCCTGAATAAAATCTGCCTCCATCATCGATGCCGAGGTTCACTTCAGTTTATGCGATACCCTTCGTATCTCCTGAATCATAATGCCTGATTGTTGTTGACAGCAGAGCACACTCGCCTGACCTCCCCCGCAGCTCCAGTCAGAACACCAATTCTGCCCATTTTCACCATCGACTTTCCGAAGTCTGTCGAGAAGCTGCCGGGGTTCTTGGCTGCAATGCTGACGACCCTGCGGCCGAAGGAGTTGGTGATGAGGGCAGCGTCCGATGGGAACAGGCCCCTGCGGCTCTGCACGGCCTTGAAGTACTTGTTGTCGAATGTGGCGTTGGTGGCATCCATTTGCCCGACGAAGGTCAGAGGCTGGTCCGCAGGGCACAGCGTTCGGAGCAAGTTGGCGAAGGTGGGATCCAGCGATGGATCGGTGGCTCCGGGCACCCCGTTGAAGTTGTAGAGACGAGGAATGACCACAGCGCAGTGAGCCTGTCCGATGGTGTGCCCGCCTGCAGCGATGCCAATGCGCTTGTATAAGCTCCACTCTCGAGGACGCGTTCAGAGTCATGCAATCTCCATATAGCCTGGAAATTCCCGCAGACTCAGACACAAATGAATTACACGGGCGTACCTGACAGAATGACCATATCCTTGGCGTTGAGTCCCACGGCAGCGAAGTTTTGGACGAGCTGAGAGAAGGTACTGAATGGAGACGGCAGGCTAGCATTCGCTTCGACCAGAGAAGACGTGAAGCCATCCTTGCGTCCGAGAGGCACGGACCAATACTTGCCTCCGACCTGTCCGACAGATGCGGAAAGTGCGCTGTGATTAACTTCCTTCTGGCTAGACCAAAATGTTGATTCATCTAAAATTTGCATCAGGAGATTCCTGAGGTCCCCTACTTGTGCAGTGGATAATGCTAGAGATGATAATTAGAGAGAGAGAGGAGATACGGACCTTCACCACAGCATCCCGGGCTGCCAGAGCCAGGATATCTGCACATGAAACCACACCAGGGCAGGCGCTTTCGACCGTGGCCTTGATTGCATCAACTTCAGCGAATCCTCTGAGGGAGCCAAAGTTTGGCGGGGCATCTTTCTCCCCCGTGTGGGAGGCTGAATCGAGGAGTACGGATCCATCGCAACCCTGAGCATTCGAACAACTCTTGACATCAATGTACAGCTGTGATACCAGTAATCCTACTTTCTAGCGAGTCCACTTACAATCATTCAAAAACTTGGCAATAATTTTACGCTTCAAACAGGGCCCCAGAAACTTCATAAGCTATGCATATAGACCGTCATTTACGAGTTAGCTTGGTAAACAGATAGGTACTTGCTCACCCGCACAAAGCAGTCATGAAAATGCAGTCGAAGTAAGCCTGGAGCCATTCCTCGATTCGCAGTGACTATCTGGTTCACTTTGTTGCGGACGATCGTTTCCACGTTCGGGCAAGTTCTATAATAATAGTAGTTTGAAAGCTTGGCTCCAGAAGCCGCAGCAGTCATCAGAAGAATTGTAAAAAGTACAAGTGCACATCTCGAACCCGCTAAAGCCATGTTTGAACGGTCTAGGATCTCTTTTATCAATCCTCTCTCAATGCCAAGACCTGGATAGAACGCTTCTCAGATTCAACCCTTCTGCAGACAATTTTGCAGGCAATTAGATTCCATCATTAAATTCACCTTTCCTATCTGTACAGAAATAGAGTGACAATGTATCACATACGACCTATGACTTAGCCCTGTCTCATGGTTTGGTCAAGAACGTATTCTGAGACTTTGCATTTTACGACAATTTGCAAGAAACTATCGTGGCTATTTTACAGAAGAGCTTAATTCTCTTTCAAAACAAGCTAAAAGTCCGACATCTAAGCGTTGCAACAAGACTTCTTACGTGAGTAGATCAAGCTATTAACTATTTCTGCAAATCTAGCTGAGACAAAGCTGGAATTATCGTAAGCTTAGCTCCCATAGTCTGTACGGAAACTGGTTGTGAAGGTGGATACGACACTTTTATCTGGAAAGAAAAGGAGAGGTAGAGAAAGATAGCATAAGCAGAAAGTGACTGGGAAGCCGCTTAAGACTTAAACAAAGTTTCTTAGTTTCACTCTGAATGCAATAAATAATTTCTAATAGAATCCAATATGATCCCCTCCTCGTCATGTAAATGCTCACAAAGAGATCGAGAAATTCGATCAAGGAGATATAACGAACCTGATGAATCTTACCAAGCGAACTTGACCAAATACTTGGCTTCTGTTTTGTGCCTTCCACGAGCGGCATCTTATACTCTTAGGCAGTTCCCCGTTTGCGTCTTGGAAAGCATCAAAGAAGTGTTGACGAGGCATGTTCGATCAGATGTTCTGATTCTCTGCCTGCTGGCCTTGTTGTCTCCGCAGCTTGATGGTTCCAGTTGCAATTCGTACTGTTTAATATTGGGGTGGAACTAGCTAGCAGTGACTACATGACTCTGTCTCCAAGTCACTTGTCTGAAACATTGTAGATTATGCAAGTAGTAAAATTGGTTACAAGCTTTGGATCAGAATGGCTTTGGATTAGATTCCTTACATGAAAGTGAACTCTACAACCCCACAACGCAGTATCACCTGCTGTGTGGGGTCCGACATATAATAGTTACAGTTGACGTACAGTTGAGCTTGGAGGCGCTCACTGTTAATCACGAGACCCGGTCACCAAAGCCTGTAAAGATCCACTGTGCAAATCAGTGGAACAGATCTGGGCTGATTCTAGTTGCCTGATATTAGCATTCTTCCGACGCAATGTTCACTGGTTACTACTGGCCCCATGATTGCTGGAAGTGCTGCTCGGTCAACTTCAATCATGATGAATGACTGAAGTTGAAATCTGTTGCTTGTGTTAGTACATTCTCAGAAGTCTTTACAAAGTACGTTGATAGATAACGCAAACAGCACGTGGGTACTGGCGAATCCTTAAACTTTGAGTCGCTCGGATATGCGTATCGTGGATGTGCAGGGACACCAAACAGGAATGAACATGTCTGTTGTGGAGCCTTTCATCTTACAAGTATCCGTAAAGTGAGGCCTTCATAGTCTTCCATTTTGACTTATTAGATATGGGCTGGACTTTGATAGTCTGTGAACTTCTCTCCATCCCCTAAATGTCATGCATTATTCAGACACCATGGAATGTCTGCGAGTACTCATGTCTGTGAAACATTCCTTCACCGTGACACTGTGTTTCCATCATTAACGAGAACTTCTTCATTATATTGTTGTCGAAATAAATCGAATTATGTCGACATATTTCTTCATTATACTGTAGATTGACGGACTTGGTGGTATTCTATCACACTCTTCTAAATTCGATGAATATGTTTCCAACTGTTTGCTATCTCACCGTTTTATGTGATTAAACAGGAATAATCTTACTGAGGTCGAAGGTGTTCATGTGGCGGGAACGATTTCTATTTGTATATATATACTCTCTTACTGGACCCCTGCAGCCTTTAACACCATGTCAAACTCTAGAATAGTTACTGTTTTGTGATTTATTTTCGTCAAATACTTCAAATTGACGTCTCCCGAAAGTTTATTCGTCCACCTGTTTGAATTTCCAAATCAAATTTGAAAGTCATTTCCAGAAAGCACTTTCAGTCGATTGAATTAGAGTGTAGGAGAATGCTGCCATAGATCAAGTCGACTATCTATCAGCACGTTGATGCATTTGGAGGATATTAAAGGGGAAATTTTTCACATTCTGCTTCTCTGCTTAGTCCCAACTCCTCCTTACTACCACAGTCAGTTTCGTAGACCAGATTTCCTGTTCCAGCTTCAAAGACTTATCCAATGACAAGCTTACTCAGCGTTTTTCCACTGAAATAGATTGGATCATCTGAGATGCAAGAGTTCTTCTGTAAACGTATCATGGGGCTACATCCAGAAAAAGATGTTGCCTTCACGTCCTAATTTTACTGATTTGAATTTTTATTCTACACTTTTATTTTCATTTATTCTACATTTTTATTCAGTATTTGAATTCTTTCCACATCCAGGACCACTTCTCGTCTTTAATGCGGTTGACACTCGATGTTTGTGGGGTGGGCTGTACAGTTCAGGAGTGAGTCAAGGGACTGATGCTTACTCAGGGTCATACAAGTTTCATGCGTAGTGGAAAAAGTCGTACACAAAGCAGTATCGGTACAGCAGGGTAAACGCCAGATAGTTATGTCACACCGTCGTTATCACAATGTCAAGATTGGTAATTTTATCATTAAAACTCTATAGTATTTAGATAATATCATACTTCTAGTTCTTGATAGTAGTAGTTTACAAAGACAATTTTAAAATTTGACAAAGTTTTGTATCTAAAATAAAATAGAATTTAATATGGAGAAATGGGAAATCATTATAGTAATAACTAGATCCGAGTTCTCGTTCTTTTACAAATTTACAATTAGAACAAATCAAGAGTTACAAATATCTGATTATTTATTTTTCTAATGATTGTAATTGGGCAGTTTGCATATAAAAGAAAGTAGAAACTTGGCACAAAGCTCTATTCGTCTTGAAAATTATATAGAATAGCTCATCTTGTGTCTTGGGGTCTTTGAAAATTCTTATTTAAAAATATAATGTATTTGTAGTCTTATATGAAACCCAAGTTTAGGACCCTGGTTGTAAAAATACAAGTTAAGAACACATGGAGAGGGTACAAAAGATCATTTATTTGAAAATTAAAACATCGTACTTCAACTCTATGTCGTGCTATAATTTGATGTAAGAACATAGAAATCACTGCAAATAGTTTTACTTGTTTAATTGATAGTCAAGTAAAGAGCTTCATTATCTGAAACCCTTTACTTGACTATCAATTACATCGCAAGGATGAGATGTCTTGATGTGTCTTGCCCCTCTAATCAAGTTTTGCGTGACGTAATAGAGTTGCCAGTAGGTGTGATGACTTGGTCTTCAAAACGGAATGTATCGCACTTGCAACTGATTTCATTTCGTGAGCATCTATAAGTTCGAGCACCAAAATGAAATTTTACCAATTTCATGTGAACAAGGATAACTATTTGCAAGGATTTCTATGTTCTTAGGTCAAATGATCTCACGAAATAGAAATGGAATGGAAATTCATAGGCTAGAATTTTGTAGGTGATGTGTTGGAAGAAATATTGAGTATGAAGAGATTGAATTAGCTCATAAAATAGATGTGAAAAAATTTATTCTTTACTAGTGATTTATGGTTTACATTGTTACATTAGATAGTCATATTTCCATGTCTCAAGTGCTTTAGAAAGTAGTTAGAGTAGGTCTTTAGGATTATTTTCTTGATCTGGAAATGAATGATTTGTAATGTGTTTTTTAGACTTTTGATATATTTCTTCTCTATTTCTTTACCATTTATATAATTCAAAGTACCCCAAGCTGAAGTTATGTCCCTGTAAAAAGTTGAAACCTTGGATAGGGACATAAATCAGTTCCTGTGTAATGAGGAAGATATTTGTAGCAATAGATAAATATCAAAATGGAGAATAATGGTACTGATCCGATATCACGAGGATAGAAACAATACCAGAGATTCAAATATTGTCACGATTAACATTCTATTGATGAGTTTTACTTTTCAAGCATATGTCTTTCCCAAAATCATTTACAAATATTAACCCGAATTTGATACAGATACAGAGTGTTATCACATCAAATTCTTGAAATACATCCAATTAAACACCACAGAAATCGCAAGCAAATCTGCATTTGATATTTAGGGGGAAACTTTTCAAGATTACTCGCTTAGTCTGCTGCACCGAGCAACCAGTCTACAAGTTTGCTTAAATCCTGATCTACACTATGCATCACTCAAAACACCTAAGATGATTACTCTACTTTAAATGTGGTATCTTCTACAAACCAAAGCAACTCTCGCACTATGACAAAACGCACAACTCACGAACGTGCGGAGGAATGTAGACTTAAGACTATCTTGTGGGAAAGCCTTCCAGGCACTTTGACCACTTTATTCACAACGAACACCCGGAGTCATCATCTGCTACTTGTGAGTTCCCATCATATGCGACATCCACGGACACAGCAGTTGCCACAGCCGCAGAGCTCCTGACTACTCCTATCTTACGCAGAACTACTGCGAGCTGTAACTCTAAGTTCTCCCTAGTCTCTTCCAAACAGATATGAAAGAACTAACTATTCTACCTAACTATCGATGTCCTATCACTTTGCTGGCTTCCAATACTCTCAATCTACGCTCTAGCGAATCTAATTTTGTCCACTTTGTGATTTGGATCTCCAAACCACAAAATTGCGAAGGCATCGTTCTATCCTAGCTCGCAAACCAATACCCGTATCCTGTTCGAGATGTTTGATGTTTGCCGCTGTTTTCACCAATTTTGCCTAAGCCGCGATCAATTGCTACTCAGCTGTGGACAATTAAGATCGCAAGCTTATGCAATCTGCATCCTACTCTCTTCCGAGTTCAAACTCCAAAGATCTCGTAGTATCGCAAATAGCTAATCTATCCTTCCAACGAGCTACTTTGGAAGCCACAAACCGCTCCCGTGCCGCCAGATGCGCTGTCAGCTCCTCAACGCGCTGAAATTCTCTCTGAAACATTATCTTAAACTACTCCAATCCGTTTTGAAGTTCTTACTTCGCCTTCTGAATTGTGCAAACTTCAACCCAAAGGCCGAAGCACTATAGCTCATTCTGCGTACGAAGGCTACTCTCAGCAACTAACTCTCGTCAAAGTTCTTCGCAATCCAACTTCTTCGCCCGAAGTTGCTCCTCTCGCTCTTGCAAGATAACTGTCATGATCGCACATTCGGAAGTCAAGCTTGCAACTCATTCTGTCACCCCAACGGTTGCGGCCGACTTCGACGTCGTTCGTCTGCACACCAACTCTACATAAGATCTTGCCAAAGACGGTGACACCAAGTACTTCACCATCTCTCTATCTAAGTACTTCACTAATAGAACTATCCTCTCAATTAAAAGATCTGACAATATAAACTATGTCAACTTCGGCTCGTAGACCTAAGGCCCTTCTCCACGATCAAATTCCACTTTACCTGAAGACAACGTCGATGAGGATGGCGAATACTCATCATCGCAGTAAGATGAAGGCACGACACAGAAGTAAGAAAATAGTGGACAATGCAGAATGCAGTAAGGCAACATCGCAGCCTCAGCTATCTTGGATAATTGGATCGCAGTGGGAGTGCAGGATGCAGGAACGGAAGACAAATGGCCTTCGGAGTGGCGACCTTCGGATGTGCCTGAGGAGGGCTGTTGGTAGAAGGCAAAGAAGGAGAAGATGAGACCGAGACGGAGACTTTGGGTCAACGCCTTCGATCTTCGGATCAACCCGCAGCCTTCTCCGGCCTTCAGGCGAAACATCTTCGGACGTGCGCCAAGCGATTGAAAAGTCGGCGGACGTTCCGTAACCGTCTTTCCAACTGTCGCCGCAAACTGCTCCGAAGGTACTTTTCCCAAAGGACAAACCTTAGCCGACTTTTCAATCTCTTGGCGCACATCTGAAGATGTTTCGCCTGAAGTCCGAAGAAGGCTGAGATCAAAGAATTACCATATCAAGCTACATCTATCAAGATTCTTCCTAAGTCAATTTGCCATTAATTGACAAAGTTGTGAGATATCTACTCTAGCAGATCATATCCCATCTAATTTAACATTATTGACTGCAAGTAAAAACACTAACTCCAATTATTAAACATGGATTCCAATTATTTATAACTTTTCATCTGCTACGGACCTTTTGTTTAATCTACTTTTGATTATTCTCATCCTAAAAGTATAAATTTCTATTCATCTACTCTTCAAATTTAGTCTCTCCGAAAAAAATAAAAATCTACGTTACAACAATATTGTGCATATTCCTTGAATGTAGAACATTCGAGGAATATGCACAATATTGTGGTAACGTAGTTTTTTAGCACCAAGTTTTGTAGGCGACTATCCATTTGTGAGGCGAATTCTGTAACCCTTATGTTTGACTATTGAATAAACTGCTGTGAAAACTGTTATGTTTATGTAACTTCGTGTTGGTTATATTCAGGTGATCCCTAGTATTGAGAAACAGTGGTGCAACGTTCGACCGAAGCCAACGGCATGATAGAACTGGAATTGGTTACTAGTGAGTGCACGTTTGACAGCGGATATAGTGCGAAATCCATCGTTTGTTATATATACCTGGTGACAAATTAACAAATCATGAATGAGCTCATACTTCGTGTGACAGTAAGCAGCCCTTTCAGTTCTGTATGACATTACACACCATTGAATCCTTCAAATGAAATAGGGTTATCGATACAAGAAACTGTTTAACCCTTCACAGTATGCAGCGTTTTCAGAGTATATTTGGTGATTGACGTGAATGGCATCACTATTTTCTTATTAAGAAGTATATACAGTCAGCTCCCTCTTTCCAGATACCAGTTGTGCCTGGCAATCAGGTTCGAACCTAAAGCTCCCGAGGTCAAACGCATTAGTTGCCGGATTCCAGTCTATTTATATGTCTAACATCCATACCAAGAACTGGGCAAACGCTCTCCAAGAATGTACTGTCGTCTCTGATTTCAAGTGGGACGCGACTGCAGGAAAAAGGGAGACCGGACCAACATGTTTGAGAAGTATAATATTAAAATTGTGGATTCGTCCTTTGCCAAAATCGGAGAGTCTTTAGACAATGATATTTTTATTGTAATCTGGGTTCCATTTGGACTTCAATGTCAATCAGATTGACGTTTAGAGATATTATATGATGATAACTAAATAAATAATGGGGGTCAAACTGGAACCATCAAAAAACACATCCATAGCATAGAATAGTAAAAATTGGTCGGAAATCTGACATTCGTACATACACTATAATTCTATACATTCGTACATACTATATTTATATATATATTTGGTACATTAATTGTACATTATATATATACTAACCGTACTCCATTCATTCGCAGCACCACATACACAGATTACGTTCAATGTAGATTCCGAGGGAATGGTCGCTGAACGATGTGAAAATGATTTAGTACTTTTCACTCTGGTATTTGCGATAACTTCTTCAAATAGCCATATTTGAATATCGTAAAATGAAACAAATTCAATCACCCGTTAGACAAAGAATGTAGGTAGATAACAATTTACGAAGACGTATCATGCTCGAATGTATGTTTCACGCGTGAGGCTTATGCGTAAGACTAAACTGTTACTGACCTGGGCTGAAAACATTCTGAAAAGATGATGCAATCAAACGGTGTCAATCTCAAGGTTTACGAGTCGGCAACCTTTAACTCCCTTCTGCAACTGATATATGAGTAATTTCACTCTCGTTGAAAGCAGAGACCACTTGTCTGATCTCTCAACCAGTTCCAGTCTTGCACATTTTCACCGTCGATGTTCCGAAGTCCTTCAGAAAGCTGTCGAGGGAACTTGGCTGAAATGTTCCCTACCCTGCAATGGAAAGGGATGCTGATGAGGGCAGCATCTGATAGGAACAGTCAGTCCCCTTTGGCTCTTCACGACCTTGAAATATTCGTTGTCGAATGTGCCGTTTGTGGCATCCAGTTCTCTCACAAAGGTCTGAGACTCGTCCGAAGGGCAGAGAGTTCTGAGCAAGTTGGCAAAAGTGGTATCGAGTGATGAATCGGTCGTTCCGGGCATAGCGTTCAAGTCGTACATACGAGGAATCACTCCTGCACAGTGAGCCGATTGTACGCCACCTGAAGAATAAATATGCATGAACTCCCTCTGATCATTAGACCGCTCAGAGTTCTGAAAAAGAAGTCTTTTTGAATTGATTTCTTCGATACCAATCCCTTGAAAGATCCACCTTAAATCTGCAAGTTTTATGGATATCCTGCTAAAGTAATAGTTATTGAGCTTGAAGCACCCGAAAGAGTAAGCATATCCTTGGCATTGTTTACTATCAAGTGCCTCAATAATAGTTCCAGCCTTCTCTAGATCCATATAGTGAGCTTCCTCACGTGACGTCAGAGGCCATGATATGTATATACTTCTAGCACATGTGCTTGTCCTTGATTTTTAAAAGAGAATGAAAGTGTCGACCTTCAGTACGACATCACGGGCTGCTAAAGCCAGAATATCCGCGCATGACACTTCACCCGGACATGTCCTTTCAATTGTGGCCTTGACAATTGAATTGGCCTTCAGTTGGTTGCGTCATCCTCTGCGAGTTATATGGGAGAGCCAAAGTTTGGTCGTGCAGCTTTCTCTGCCGAATTGGACGCTGATTCGGGGAGTACTGATGCCGCACAACCCTGAACGCTTTTAAAAAATTGTCTTCCAATCTAGAGATTTATGAGCGTGTGGTGCCAATGCAAGCCTTCATTTCAAAAAGGCTGTATAAAGATAAACACCTTAGAATCAGTTATCGAGATGAGAGGAAGAATGCAAAGATTGACTACGGACAAATGAACAGTCCCGTGAAAATTGTCTCCAATGATTGCTCTCTAAACACAACGAGATCGTTATAATTACGTCCATGACCAGTGGACGACATGTAGTACATCAAGGAGAGCTGAAGAATGTTTGATCGTTACTTTGACGCTGAAGAATGTTTTCGATAGCGTTTAGTATAGCCTCAAAGTCTGGACTTTGTATCTAGTTCATCAATGTTTGCATCTTATGATGCCACTACAGAATCGTGATCTTTAGCAAGATGCAGATCTTTCTTCTCTGCTGGAAGTGTGCTCAAATCTACATAGCAATCTCTCTGCCAATGACCTTCCTTTCCACAACGATCGAATCGTCCTGCCTCCACTAGTATTCTTCTTGGCCCCTTGGATTTCTTCCGATTCTTGAGTTATTAAGGACTCTCGAAATCCTTAAACATGTTCTCCGTTGTCACGTCCTTTTCGTTGTTCTTCCTCTAGTTGCATGCGTCAGGTTTCAGAAAGAGATAAAGCTTAACCTTGAGGAGGTATCTCAAATTGTTCCCAGTCCGTAATTATTGTCCGATCATGTTACTTGCTTATATGGCAGCGTGCAATATGGAAAATGTAGGACCTTAAACTCCTTTATTTTTTATCTCTAATTTTTTTTAAAGATTGATGTATTTATCTTCAGCTAGACTGCGACGCCGGATTATAAGCCAAGGCCATGCTTAAGATATGTAAGAATCGAGGGATATGTCTTGACCATGATCAAACGAAGTGAAACCATGTCTGAGCTCCAAATGAGATGTGGTTGATGGACAAGAATCCACTGACCAGCAAAGCCTGGATTTTCAATCAGGTCCAGAATGAACAGCATGACGGTCTCACTCCCAGCGGATCCAAGTTAGACGCAAACCTCCACAACATGCACATCAAATCACTTCTGGTCGCCAGAGCTTCTCCTCCTGATGAGGTGTTCGTGATCCTATACATCCACAACGAGCCCACTTGGTCTTCGCCAGTAACTTCCTCCTGTCTACGTAATTTTTCAGCTTACGGTGCAAAGACTTACGAGAATCTGATAATCACAGGCAACAACAACCTGACTCGGAAATCATGAGGCAAACAGTAAGCATTACACATTGCACTGAAATAATGCTAATATTGGCCGAGCACGATTCAGATGCCAAGGTTTATCTGGACCCGGAGTCTTCTATCGGGTCCAGTGCTTCACAATGAACGTTTCCTTTTCATGTACTGGTGAGAATTTAGAACCATTCGAGCTATCTTCCTTCAGATCTTCAAGCTACTTTGACTTGTACCGACATTTCAGTATCCACTATCAGCTCTAGCTGGTTCGTTCCAAATTTAAACTGTATGAAAGCTGTAACTGGAACCATCAAGCTGTTCAGACATCCAGCCAGCATCCAGACAATCCGAACGGGCTTCCTCCAAAATTCTTTCAAGCTTCCCAAGATGAAGAGAGCGGAAGGCCTGGTAGTATAAGATGCCGCTGGTGGAATAAACAAAACACAAGTGTTTGGCAACGATCTCTGGGTGGAATGCGACAGGTCCGAACTTTTTCTGTAGTCAAGTTTCTTAATCATTAAGCTTTATTTGTAAGGTTGCATGCTCATTCAATTTGGACGGAAGAAATTCATATGTATCTCTCCTAGTGATTGTGAGTAGAAAGGACTCGACGCACTCAGATGAGCAGGCAGGGTAGGTAAATTATTGTAGTTTAATCTTGCTCGCTCCTCGATTCGAGTGTTCCCTCTGTCTAGTATCAAACTTGCACGTGCTTCGGCCCAGATCATCGGAGTTCAGCTTATGATGCTTCACCTGATCTTATATGGTCTGAACAGGAGGAAGTGATACCCTACTCGACTAGCATGGAGATCTTGTTCTAACGCTTAGATTTTGAGACTTTGCCCGGTTTTGAGAAGAAGTGAGATTTCTTCTAGATCTGTTCAAGGATATGTTTTGCACATTTCTGGAAGGACTACGTCCGATTATCTACTGCATGCTGCATTATTTGAAAACAGACTATAGGTTTGTATTTATTTTAGCTGATGTAAGAAACGTGAAAGTCGCAACCAAGTATAAAATCTCTTACGTGCAAAACCGTCTGCAGAGAGTTTCAAACCGACAAGCTTCCGATCCAGCTTTTGAGACGTGAAAACGTGAACGGATTCTAACTAGAATTACTGAAGTCGTCGAGTCGTTCAAACATGGCTTTAGCGGGTTCGAGATGTGCACTTGTGATTTTTACAATTCTTCTGATGACTGCTGTCGCCTCTGGGGCCAAGCTTTCAAAGTATTTTTATTATAGAACTTGCCCGAATGTGGAATCGATCGTCCGCAACAAAGTGAACCAGATAGTCACTGCGGATCGAGGAATGGCTCCAGGCTTACTTCGACTGCACTTTCATGACTGCTTTGTGAGGGTGAGCAAGTCCTTCATCTCTTTAGCAAGCTTGGTGGTAAATGACCATCAATGTGCGCAGCTTATAAACTCTCCGGCTCGCTGTTTGAAGCGAAGAATGATTGCGAAGTTTTTGAATGATTGTAGATGGACTCTCCGGCAAGTAGGATTACTGGTATAACAGCTGTACATTGATGTCAAGAGTTGTTCGAATTGTCAGGGTTGTGATGGATCCGTACTCCTGGATTCAGCCTCCCACACGGGGGAGAAAGATGCGCCGCCAAACTTTGGCTCTCTCAGAGGATTCGCCGAAGTTGATGCCATCAAGGCCACGGTGGAAAGCGCCTGCCCTGGTGTGGTTTCATGTGCAGATATCCTGGCTTTGGCAGCCCGGGATGCTGTAGTGAAGGTCCATATCCTCTCTCTCTCTATATATATATAATCTCTAGCATTATCCACTGCACAAATAGGGGATCTCAGGAATCTCGTAATATAATCTTATGATGATTCAACATTTCCGTCAGCCAGATATCCTGGCTTTGGCGGTGAAGGTCCATATCTCTTTCTCTCTCTCTCGCACTTCTTTTGCATTATCAACTGCACAACTAGAGGAACTCAGGAATATCTTGATATAATCTTATGATGAATCAGCATTTTCGTCTAGCGAGAATGAAGCAAATCATAGCGCCTTTTTGCATCTCTGGTACAGGTCGGAGGCAAGTATTGGTCCGTGCCTCTCGGACGCAAGGATGGCTTCACGTCTTCTCTGGTCGAAGCCAATGCTAGCCTGCCGTCTCCATTCAGTACCTTCTCTCAGCTCGTCCAAAACTTCGCTGCTGTGGGACTCAACGCCAAGGATATGGTCATTCTTTCAGGTACGTCCGTGTAATTCTTTTGTGTCCGAGTCTGCGGGAATTCCCAGGCTATACGGAGATTGCATGACTCTGAACGCGTCCTCGGGAGTGGAGTTCACACAAGCGCATTGGCATCGCTGCAGGCGGGCACACCATCGGACAGGCTCACTGCGCTGTGGTCATTCCTCGTCTCTACAACTTCAACGGGGTGCCCGGAGCCACGGATCCATCGCTGGATCCCACCTTCGCCAACTTGCTCAGAACGCTGTGCCCCTCGGACCAGCCTCTGACCTTCGTCGGGCAAATGGATGCCACCAACGCCACATTCGACAACAAGTACTTCAAGGCCGTGCAGAGCCGCAGGGGCCTGTTCCCATCGGACGCTGCCCTCATCACCAACTCCTTCGGCCGCAGGGTCGTGAGCATTGCAGCCAAGAACCCCGGCAGCTTCTCGACGGACTTCGGCAAATCCATGGTGAAAATGGGCAACATCCGTGTTCTGACTGGAGCTGCGGGGGAGGTCAGGCGAGTGTGCTCTGCTGTCAACAACAATCAGGCATTATGATTCAGGAGATACGAAGGGTATCGCATGAACTGAAGTGAACCTCGGCATCGATGATAGAGGCAGATTTTATTCAGGAACTGTCGTGTAACTCTTCATTGCATTCGAAGTGCGACAGATCGATAAGAGCAGAAGCTTGGCGGGTACGAACGGTACCTCGGCACCATACCGATGCCTGACTGGACTTGTAGGCAGCTCCTTGGGACCGCGCATTGCGACCGCTATAATGCATGAACTGGATTCCTTAAAGGAACGATAGATTAAATGAGCCGTAAGCATGAGCATTTTTCACGTGGATATTAAAATATACTTAGAACTTAGTTAGGTGACAATTGTACCGACAAGTAATTGGTTATAAATTTTTATACCTTGCCATTCATTTCAATGCGGCGAGATCCAAATAAATTCTTTGAAGATCTTTTTAAGAAAGAATCGATCTCGTAGTAGTTTGAATTGATATATGTCTGTACAAGACCAGATTGCCACGATCCGGGAACAACAACACAGTGTAAAAATTGGAAGCCCCATGATAACAATGCCATATTTCAGTTCTAGAAATCATGTAACCTTTGTCTTCCTCTACTTGAAGCAAGAAAATATCACCATAAAAAAATGTTGCATTTGCAAAAACTTTTCAATTTTTTGGTAAAGTGCAAAAGTAATCGGATGATTCCCATTGTGATTAATAGCTAATCATGATTAAATACTCAGACGACCGCTTTCTGAAATCTTGTGCGAAGTGGTAAGAGTAAGACACTAAACTGAACAGAGATAAAATTGTAGTGATCATACTCACATCAAAATGACATCATCGACGAGCAAAATGCATATGTGGAAGCTTTGAAGGACCCGGTCTTCAAAGCTTGGTTGACCGGGTCCAAATCTGCTTGACAATGAATGCATTCACGCTCACTTCTGTTGTAGACTGTATGTAAGTATAGAGTCCAAATTAAAAACAGCAGATGATGGTTGCGGTATCAACATTCCTGTAGAGGATGAACACCGAATTCTGGAGGATGTTTGAACGACTGAGGTCCACGTGCATCGTGTATAATCTTCGGACAGCTCAGCTAGGATTAAAATGCTACTCAGCTCTAGCTAAGGTTGAATCACATTAAAATAGCATCAAGAGCGCCTCGAAACATCAAGCTGTTATCAAGACCAGCGTGCAAACAATCCAGATCGAAGAGTCTTCCCCGACATTTTTTTCAAGACTGGTAGTTTGAGATGCATCTCATGGAACACTCGAACCACCAGCGAAGTTTTCCCCCAAGCTCCGAGGATGCAAATCATCAGGTCAGATACGATCAAACAATCAAACATTCTTCAGCTCTCCTTGATGTACTGTACTGCATGTCGTCCACTGGTCATGGAGGGTATTAAAACAATCTCGTAGTGTTTAAAGAAAGCAATTATGGCAGACAAATTTCACCGGACTGTTCATTTGTCCTTAGTCAAGTTTTGGATTCTTCCTCTCAGCTCCCTAACTAGTTTTAAGGTGTTAAACTTCATACGCAGTTATGGTTACAGTCTTCTGAAAATTAAGGCTTGCATTGGCACCACACGCTCAAAATTTTCCAGATTGCAAGACAATTTTGAAAAGCGTTCAGGGGTGGGCGGCATCGGCACTCCCCTATTCAGCGTCCAATTCGGCAGAGAAAGCTGCACGACCAAACTTTGGCTCTCCCAGATGATCCGCAGAGGATGACGCAGTCAAGGCCACAGTTGAAAGTACATGTCCTGGTGAAGTGTCATGCGCGGATATTGTGGCTTTCGCAGCCCGTGATGTCGTACTGAAGGTCTACAGTTTTGTTCTCTTACAAAGAGCCAATGACAAGCACAAGTACTAGAAGTATATACATATCATGGCCTTCAACGTCACGTGAAGGAGCACACTCTATGGATGTAGGGAATGTTGGAACTGTTATTGAGGCATCTGTTAATAGACAGTCCCCCAGGATGTCCATAAAACTTCCAGTTTTATGGACATCCTGAGCGAATTGGTATCGAAGAAATGAATTTACAAAGACTTCATTTATGAAGCAGAATGTGAAAAGTTTCTCCTCTTATCTCCTCCGAAGGCATTAACGTGCTGACAGATGGTCGACTTGGTCTATGGCGGCATTCTCCTACACTCAGTTAGATAACTAGCATCTGATGTTAATTGTCTAATTCATTCGCCTGAAAGTGCTGTCTGAAAGTGATGCTCAAATTTGAGTTGTATATTCATACAGGTGGACGATTAAACTTTCGGGGGACTTCAAATGTAAGAATTTGACGAAAATAACACGTAACACGGTAACTATTCTAGAGCTTGACATGCTGTTAGAGGCTGCAGGGGCAGTGGGGAATCCAAATATAAATCCAAATAGATGTCTGGCTACATGGCCACCTTCAACCTCAGTAAGATTATTCTCGTTTGATCACAGAAAACGGAGAGATAGCAAACAGTTGCAAACATATTCATCTAATTTGTAAGGATGTGAACGAACTCCATCAATCTACAGTATATTGAAGGAAAGTTCGAAATAATTCGACAACAAAAAACTTCTCGTAAATGATGGGAAGGCAGTGTCACATCCGCCGTGGTGAAGGAATGTTTCACATACATGAGTAATCACAGACATTCCATGGTGTCTGAAGTATGCATGACATGTAGCGGATGGAGAGACTGACGATCCATCCACTGACGATCAGCGCCCATTACACATTTTTAATTAGTCCATATGGAAGAATATGACGGCCTCATTCCACGGATACTTGTAAGAAGTAAGGCCCCACAACAGACATGTTCATTCGTGTTTGTTGTCCCTGTCAATCCACGACATGAATATCCGAGCGCCTCAAAGTCTTAGCTTTCGCCAGAACCCACGTGCTGTTTACGTTATCTACGAACATACCTTTCAAAGACGTATGAGAATGTACAATCACAGGAAAAAGCATTTCATCTTTGATCCTTCATCATGAGTGAAGTTGACCGAGCAGCATTTCCAGCAATCATGGGGCTAATAGTAAGCAGTGAAGATTGCGTCGGAAGAATGTTTACATCGGCGAACCAGATTCAGCCTAGATCGGTTCCACTAATTTGCAAAGTGGATCTTTCCAAGCTTTGGTGACCGGGTCTTATGCTTCACCATGAACGCTTTAAGCTCAACTGTACGTCGACTGTAACTATTATATGTCGGACCCCACACAGCAGGTGTAACTGCGTTGTGGGGTTGTAGAGTTCACGTTGGTATAAGGAATCTAATCCAAGAGCCATTCTGATTCAGAGCTTGTAACCAATTCAACCACTTGCATAATCTACAATGTTTCGGACAATTGACTCGCAGAAAGAGTCATGTAGTCACTGTTAGCTAGTTCCGCCCAAATATTAAACAGTATGAATTGCAACTGAACCATCAGGCTGTAAAGACAACAAGGCCAGCGGGCAGAGAATCAGAACATCTGATCGAACATGCATCGTCAACACTTCTTTGATGCTTTCCAAGTAGCAAATGGCGAAGTGCCTAAGAGTATAAGATGGCGCTCGTGGAAGGCACAAAACAGAAGCCAAGCATTTGGGTTCATGTCATTGTGTATTTTCAAAAGTCTAGTGACAAGATCTTGCACAACCAAATTTTTTGTTAAACTCAAATTCAAAGAGTGTGCAATGACTTAGAGCTTCTTGTGATGGATCTGGTACAACCTAATATGCATCAAGAAAGGTGAAAACTAGATGATATTGTTCTGAATTAGATATGGACACATTGAAAATAATGTCATAATTTTAGGTATTATGAACACATCTGTTATATTCCAACCCAACGACGTATATGAACAATTTCTAAATGATTTCATTTTATGTTATCTCAACAACATACTATAATCTTAATATCTTATGAATCTTAAGATATATGTCAAGCTGGAGAGATGCGTTTTTCATCAATTCCAAGTTGAATTCTTTGGCTAGATTAATTCTAGAGAATGTCTATTCATGAATATAAAGTAGATTCAAATAGTCATCAATTGAAAAAAATCACCTACCGTTTTTTCATACTTTAACTATTTTGCAATTTTTTGTCAAATCTTCATCCAATAGAATTTCAAGATTGCTACTTCGTTGATTCGATTGACTTGCCAAAACAAGCTCAAGTGTAATTTCGGAAGCACATCAAGCATTTGCAAGTACAAAGAAGGTATTACAAATACGCATAATCTCACACATTCTAGGTCTATAAGCGCTTGATCATTGTCGATTGGTTTTAAGAATGGCGGCGATTGTTCAAGGGAGTTCAACATCCAATAACGGTCTACATCAAACACAAGAATCTTGAGTACTTCATGTTTGACAATTATGTATTGAATCTACCACAAGCATTGTTTGATTATATAGCTTTTGCACTTTAATTCTATCATCTATCGCCACCTATCGCAATGTTTCCAGCAAATCCGGTCCGACGTTCTTTTCTATCCAACATATCTTGCATCAAGGGAAGGAGATGCAATTTATGACCAACAAAAGATTCCTCTTATCAAACCTGAACAACTTCAGCTAAAGATCGTGCACACCACAATCATGATAAATGCATCTTTTTTTCAATATATTCAAGTAAGTTTACAATCTGATATTTTGTACTTCAAATTGAAGAACAATGTTGGCATCTCCAATCAATAAGAATTTTCAAGTCAAAACTCTCAAATCCCTAATTCCAAATTTATAGTCATAAATTCATCCTACTTCTAATTCAAGGATATTTTAGATTGCATGAAGCAACCAAAATCAACGTTGATACAAATTGGAGTCTCGAGATAGGTTATTATACTACTAGGTTATGCTTTATGTCCCATAAGGTCCATGCCGACTCCGAGTGTTCTAACCTTCCACTGACTTTTCATTGATGATAAACTCTGTTAACAACAACACGATGAAGCTTATATCTATAGACTTTGGTGGTCATAAATGAGCAAAATCGTGAAATAATATGTCACAGAATGTGACCATTCCACAACATAGAAAATAATTTGTCACAATTTTGAAAAATACATACATTTTTTATAGATTTCCCAAAGATTTGATTTTTTTAACATGTTACTCAATCTACATCCAAATACTCACAATTTTCGTATCATAATAAATGGACATAATAACCAAACCAAGATATTAAGCATCGAAGCAATAAAATGTTTCATTGATGACTATCAATACAATGGGATGTATCTAATTCCAGTAGCAAAATTTATGTACAGTAATACATTTCAAAATTACATTTTCTTAATATGTCATTCTTCGAAATGGAAATTTAAATCTATTCAATATTTTGAAGTTTGAGTATGAACAGTATCAAGACATAAATTATGAAAATTCAGCATTATTTATTCCAACATCATGTATATCATGATTATTTCTTTGTATTATAATTCTTAAAATACATACTCTTATACAAAGCGGTCAAATTATCAAAAGAGTGCATTGCATTCAAATTCGTCATATGTACAAATGGGGACGATGTAAAGCTGAAAAATATATTTACTTTTATATATCAGCCGTTGCCAATTGTAAGTGTTAATTTGATGTTCATGGCTGCCAACTCTGAGGCAAGATATCTGAAAACGTAAGGCATGGCCACCAGCTCAATATCCCGACTTGAATTGCACACTCTACAGATGACTTTGCTCTCTTTACTTGACCCTAATCCCATTGCAAAAGCTGCACTGCTCTTCTGCTGAATTACAGGTGTGGTAGACAACAGACTTCCACATCGAACACAGATGTCCGCAGTGTGATAGTCTGAGCAAGTATGTAGCCTATCATGCAACAAGTATGCTGCACCATGAGCAAGTAACGAGTCTCGCTCCATTTCTCCGAAACGAATACCACCACCAAACTTTCGCCCTTTAACAGGCTGTCGTGTCACAGGATTCACAGCACCAGTGGATCTCACCTAAGGACAAAATTACGCGATGAACAGGCATTTCGTTATGCATTTGGTAAGGCAACAGACAAAACCAAGCATAACACAGAACATAGATCTATCCATTGTAAGATCCCATCTTGAAATAAACAACATGACTCAGTTTGGCAAGAAGTCCAGAACTATTATTCCAAATTGCACGAACTTCTTGAGATAAAAGCCATATGATTTAAGCAAAGCTTCGCGCACCTGATACTTGTCTCCAACCATATGACGAAGTCTTTGATAGTACACACAGCCGATGTAAATTTCACAGGTAAGTTCTGTGCCCAAGACACCACTATACATGACTTCTGTGCCATGGTAATTGAAACCGTATTCCTTCAACTGCTTTCCATACTTGTCGACAAGAGACTCATCTTTGTTTTTATGGCTGCTCTTCGAGTCGGCAGCGCATTTTTGAAATGGAGTAGCATTTATAAACTCCCCTTTTAAAATGCCAACCTGAAAAAAGTTGAGCCGCTCAAAAACCTGACGTATCCTGTTTCCTATAAACAACAAGCACCGGCATTGTTCCTACCATACAAATAAACTTCTATCTCCTAAAAAGTCAGATGATTGATCATCGAATAGTACTATAACTTCGTATCTGGAGTTACCTTCGCAGCCATTGATTCCAAGAGCATCCCAATCGTCATACGGGATGGAAAGGCGTGGGGATTGATAATAAGATCAGGTCGCATTCCAGTAACAGCTGAAAATGGCATGTCGATATCGGGCCATTGCTGTGAGAGCACACCCTTCTGTCCATGCCGACTACTGAACTTGTCTCCAATAACAGGGTTACGACCGTATCGCATCCGAATGCTGACCTGTGAAGGTCCATACCAATTCCGAAGACGAAAAATAAGTACACCAAATTTCTCCAACAATAAACGGTGGAGATCACAGCTACAATTTACTCATTCAAATAATATTCAGATCCGGACGTATATTTTACCTTCTGCATCGGCTCCTTGGGTCCTGTTCCGACTGCTGCCACAAAGTCCACAACAGCTCTATCTCCACCCTTTAGCTTGGACATTTTCGCGTTACCAGTAACGGTGTTCAATACACTACAGTAAGGATTATTCTCCACCAAGGTCTGCATACAGGAAAATAGAGAGATATAGACATGATATTAGCGTTGCAAACCATGATGTGAGTGAAGACCTGCAACAAATCTGATGGAGAGTATGGTAAGAAAAAAAAAGTCAGTTCCCACTATACCTGCCCAATGTACGGCAGTCCATCGGTGTCGACAAAATTTGAGTTTTGAACGGGTGGTGCTCCTCTCTTCGGACCACCGGCTGCGTCAGATCTGGCAAACACATTGACAATTCCGTCTCCTTTGCGACGCATACGAGTCAAGTCGATAGTCTCTGTCTGCAAGAAGCATAATACGTATCGAGTACATTAGACCTTCTTCATAGAAGAATAAAGAGATAATCAAAGGTCAAGATTTACAGCCAAAAAATTTACAAGCCGATGGAGGAAATAATTGTTCTCCAGACCTGTCGGAGCTGAAAAAACATTAAAGTTGATAAGAGCCACAGTACCTTGTAAATTTGTCCGTGAAACATGCCACGTTCCACAGCAGATTTGTTCAAAATCATAGCGTCTTCCATATCATATCTGGAAGAATCAACACAACTTGATAAGGCATACTTTAAGGCATTGTACCATTACCTACGACAAGGACTAACGATCAGATAATCACTGCCCTAGTAATTTCAAATGAAGATGAGTTCTAAAGAGATTCACCCCGTGTACGCAAGCACTGCAACAATAGCATTTGTCCCCGTCGGAAATTGGTCTACATTAAATTTGGCCCAATTCTCCGTCCTGGCAACAGGTGTTTGTGGTGACTGCGCACAAGCAATGATCAGTTGGTTAGCAAACTTCATTATTACAGACAGACTACTGAGAACATTCCTTCTCTGCCAAACATGCCTGAGAAAAAGTATCATGAGATCACTGCAACAGCAAAGGTAAAGGAATGCAAATCCCATGTCATATTGGACAGCATGGAGAGTGTCAAGCAACCGCACTCCCTTCCTTCCAGATGTAATCATTTATTGCAATACTGGAGTAAAAACAATTCACCTGTATACGATATAACTTATTATCGGCCCGAAATTGCAAAGCTTGACATGGAGTTCCCATAGTTTGCTTTCCCATCTGTATGCATGAAACGGTTTCTTAAAAATCAGTCAGGATAACCTTCACCCTTACATCAGCCATTGATCCAAAGTGAACGTAATTATCACCACAAAGTCGTTGGACCCAGAAAATGTATTCTTTTATTGAATGAATTTGACTATATTCATAGACTGGGCCGCAGTGGATTACCTGGCATTGGTACATATTCCTCGGACTCTGATTATGGTCTGACCATGGAGTTAAACTGGCCACAACACTGAGCATGGCCAAGGCATGCGTCTCTTCGTGGGTGGCGTATGATGATATGCCGGTAGTTCCTCCATCTGTTCCATCTGGACACTTAATTTCCATGTACGCCTGGCCACAGTTTCAAAAGTTTTAACACAGATTGTTTTGTCATCCTCTCTTACACAATCGACGCGTTCCATTGAGCTACGATTGCACCAAAGGACTCTTTCAAGCTTTAAAAGGACAACAACCTCATCGTCTGACAAAGTCAGCCTTCCGACGACGCAGTTAAACTTTGGAAAGAAAGAAGGTATTTAATTCTTTACTTCTTTATTCATTTGATTATTTGACTAGATAAGGTAAACAATATGACAGTCGGTATAGAACCTGCATGTATTGGCTCAACAATCACCCGTCGACCACGAAAACCATATTTGCAGGTGAAGAAACTAGACAAAATTCACCTGCATTTTGAGGAGAAGGGGGCAGCAATTCACTTACCTGCTCATAAGGACCAATCAGTTCCAGTGCACCCTTGTCTTGAGGACTTAGGCACTTCACGGGCCGCAGCATTCTTCCAGGTGTACTAAACAAGAAAAGGCCCGGATATGCACCAGCAGATGTACAGGGTACGTATGCCACTTCCAAGTCAGATGGGATCTGCAACAATTTTCAGCGCTGCATTAGGTGCAAGAACGTGAAGTCTCACATGCAAAAGCATACACTTACGTTCTACCCATTAACCACTGGACTTGACCTCCAAAAGCTTCTAGCTCAAAACCTGTGGAATTTCATTATTTTATGAGAAATCACTGCAGTTGACATCGACGTAGTACCAAGAAACATCGTGAATATTTGCGTGACACGTGATCAATCGCAAGGGCTAACCACAGGGCACAGACCAGGTAGTACAGCCATGGTGGCTCTATCTAAGGTGCACCCTGGTGCAGTGGGCTAGAGGTAAACAACGTGAGCATACTTACATCTGCTATCTTGGCGACTTTGCAGTGCCGTAAGTGAGCAACCGCAGGAGGAATGTCGAGAGTTCGCATGTGTCCTATGATTCGTCCGTCAAGATGAACAGTTAAAAAGTCCGGAGGTGCCACCCGGGCCATGCTGAGGACTGACGGGAGCATTCCAACGCTTACCAGCTCAGAAGTAAGGGCCTTCCGAATTTTCAGAGGCTGCCTTACAAGACCCCTTGCGTCCAGATCGGTTGATATTACTGCAGAAAAAAACTCCAACCATCAGTGCGCGGTTCTTTGCCTCCTGCTCATGCAACTACTGAGTACAGAGAATGCTGCACAATCTGATATTGGCCTCACGTTTGAGACGTTAATAGAATGTGACTTCAACTTCATCACTTCTAAAATCAAATGTAACATCCTTTTAGAAACACAGTGAACTGCAGAGATCCTTCCGCTTGAAAATATACGGAGTACTTACAACATGCTGCAGTAAGATGGTTCAATAGTCCACACGGAGATCCATCCGGGGTGTGAACTGGGCACATGAAACCCCAAGACCTGAGCGGCACAGAACAGATTAAAAAAAGGGATACACCATCATAAAAAAGAGTAAACTGAAAAAGCCTCCGTCAACAAAAAACTCATAGACCTCATGGCTAATTGGACGTACTCTGGTAACAGCTTACGGACAAGTGTGGTTCGCAGAGTTGCGAAAAAAGCTCCTCGGTGAACGGAACGGAAGTGAGAAATGTAACGAAGAAAATTCAATTTTTCTGCAACTAGGGTGAATCCGGTTGACTGCATTTCAACAGCAAATTAAACGGAGGCAGTTAAGTTATATTCAACAATAATCAAGACAAAACACCAGCTGACTAAGTACAGTCAGAGAGGAAGATGTACAACTATGCAGACAAAGGACAATCACTACCTGCCTAGTGGCTGCCACTTGTCAAGTTTATTCAAATAGTGAAGCTTGAACAAAAAGCGAGGATAAAGACTAAGCTGAAGAATGAGAGAATAAAGAGTTAATGAGGCTAGGCAGCAAGAAGGCAACCGAGGAGACAAATCATACCTGTTGTAAATCCAGACCACTCTGCGTTACAAGATTTCCAGTATTGAGGAGATATTCGACCTTTTTGCTAACATCTGAGGCAGGGACTTTTTCCAGTATTTTTTGTACCTGGGTGGCTACAACAAGAAATCTCAGATAATTAGCAACAGCGAGATCCGAACACACTGGAGAGCAATACCCAACGGGCATATGGGCAATTTAGCAAGCCAAGAGCAGAAAATGACGTACAATCCTGTAGATTGAAGGCGGGTTTGTCTTCAATCTCCTTTACGAGCAGCGCCTTGACTCTGTAAAGCCATTCCTGCATCCTCTCCTACACGTGCAGAAGTGATCCTCTCAGTGATCTCAAACTTCGCAGCACGACACTGAGCAAAAACGTGTAACTAAAATATTTTAAACAACCTGGTAGAATAAATTGAAATGCTGGCACACATAACAAGACTAGACAATCGAGTCTGTGTCAGATATGTACACTCGGCTTCTTCAGAAAAAATCAGGCCAGTAGACTGGAATTCTTACCTTCACAAATATAGTAAGAAGATGTCCAGGAAGTAAAATTTCATGATGCTGTAACGCATCTGCATTATCTGGAGAGGCAAGTCCATCTGCCAGTGCAAAAAGTTTGTGCAACATAAATCTGAAATTGTTTTTTCAGAGAAAAGGAGTAAAGTAAGTACATACCCAGCTCACAGAATTTGAATGCTTTCAAAAACCTAGACTATAATATGCTAAGAAATATTGGAAATATGAATACATCAGCAGTCGAGCACATCGAGCGTTATGAAACCAGCCGAGGTAACGAAAAAGAAATCTGAAAAAGGAAACCACGACATCTTGGAAAGTCTAGACCTTCGAACCTCAAATTCCCTTCGCAGTGTCTAAAGAAACGAGGCACCAACCGGTGGGCATGTGAAGCAGAATCTAACAAGGGAGTAATCGAGGGAACAACTCACATCAACATATTGAACTTGTCCCGAGGATTGTCCAGGTTGACCAGTATGTAGTCTTCCAAAACCTTCTCACCCACCTGCGTGCAATAGAGTTTCCCAAAAAGTAAAACGATAGTTTACAAACGATCCTTTGATGACTGAACTATAGGCAAGTTGGCCTTGGCATATGAGCTCGTTCGTTTGTAAGGGAAACTTATAATCCTCACCTTGGCGGAAGAGTAGCTAGCAGGAACGTCAAGTAGATGCTTAAATCGTTCTCCTGTTTCACCACAAGTAGTATAGAGCAGACGTTAGCGCCCCGACTAAGTGCTTTGACGTCATTTTAGAAATTTATCTAGCTCAAACATTTGTCATACGCCAACAATAGTAACGACATGTGCTGTCCCAGAACAGTTAACTCTGTGACAACATGTTGTATTATACCGACCGATGTATTGAAGGCACTGTATGCGTGTGAAAAGGTTGAGCCGCTGGACATCTTCCAGAATGATCCTTGCTCTTTGACTCACAAACTGAGAGCCCACAACTCCTTTGGTGCTCTTGTCATAACCGGATTGCACAGAAATCAGCTGCTCGTAAATCTCTCGGTCACTTGTATCAACAAGGGCCTGTGAAAGTAAAAAGGTTTGTTAAACATCAATATTTCCACGTGTCCTTGATCCCAGAAGAGATTCAGCAGAGGAACGTAAGACGAAATCACGAGTAGAAAGAAGTAACATGTACTCGATTGGAAATAACCCGTGAGCAACCGCAAAGGGCTCAACACGCGAGAAGATCGGAGAGCACAGGCCCGGTGGGTACAACGAAAAGGGGCTCTATCTAACGCATAGCCTGATGCACTATATTGTTTTGTATTGCATGTTTTAAATGCACAAATTGTTGTGTAGAAAGGAAGGTGTATTAGTATAAACACCGCAGTATTAAAAAACTTACGCTTCGTCGGACCATGTGTCTACATTGAGGCACGAAAAGAGGCAGACTTGATATCGCTCATACGTGAACTCCATACGTAATAAAGAAGACCACAAGAGAGACAGTACCAATAGATGCAAGAAACAATAGTGTGCAGCGACTTACTTTTATAATCAACCCTACGGGTATTAAGAACTCCTGCTTTCGCAACCTGCAAGAATTCAACACCACATATCATATAATTTCCTAGCAGAAATAGGACGGTACTGTGCTTAAATACTGTCAGGCGTTCGAGGTTTGAAAGACAGGAAAGTTGTAGAACTTACGAAAATCCCAGGTTAGAACCTCCCGTGTTCAAGTAATACATTCGCAATGTAACCGCACTCTGATCATGTTTCACACATCTGCATAACAAGGATTGAGGAGCGGCGATCAGCAGCAATACTATTCAAGATAACACAACACTGTCTGTTGTGATTATTTCGGCGCCTCATATTGGCCATAGGTAAGACATTAGATCCTCTCAGGTCTTTAAAACGGCCAAACCTATATCTTCACTGAAGCTTCAGTTTCTAGGAAATCTCTCTGCTGCAGGTCATCAAATACTAAAACAATTCGGAGCTACATAACTGGAGTTCGATACGAGAGTTAACGTTCGAGAAAACGCGTTCCGAACTCACATGACAACTGCTGTATGACCCCAATGACACGATGACGGTAGGATTTCAATAAAAACCTCCGTGGGAAGTATATTGAGCAAAGCTCACCACTAACAGGCGCTACGATTGGTGGAAGTGGAGTCCAAACCTTATCATGACAGCCTTGTCAGAATAGGCACTTCCTCTATTCTTGAAGGTTGCTCTCTTCACTCCCACCACCTGAATCACAGGAAACCACACGAACTTAAATTCAGGCATTTGAAAATATGGAACAATCTAGGTACAGTGTTATGCACAAAACTTCACGTTACATTCGATTTTACAAAAGAGAGCTGTACATTCTTGTCGTCAGAACCTTTTTTTACTACAGCATAAAAGTCAGTATACACACCAAGTTACGCTTTGGAATGATGAGAAGTCGAATAATTCGCTCTATACCATTGCATATGAAATATCTGCACAGTCCGGATGGTTTCAAATCATATAAGTTAAACGAATAAGCTCCATCCCACTGACATTGATGAGACGGAGTGTTTTTTGAGATAGTAAAATTGTTTACAATGCTTCATGTTAAGTTTCTAAACCGTGATTCGTTAGTAGATCCTCTTGGAGAAAGTTATCTTTCTAGCCAGGATAATAGTTTTATTTGCACATGCGAGAATTTATTCTACCTTACACCACGTACAGAAGTCACAAGTTTACAGAAAAAATATGTTCCAAATCAGAGTAACAATACCAACCCTCCCATCTCCATCGCTTCTTCCTTGTTCGCAACCATTTTCCGCCCGTCCAGACCACGCAAGTGACAGAGGCTTGACTGTGCAACCAAAACAGGCAGGATTTCTTATATAAGAACCATCTATATCCCTAGATTGACGGTCAGATTCAACACAAGTCTCATATATTGAGCACCCTCAAACGCGAACTTCGACATCCGAATCCTCATACGATGCACATGACACATCTTGACATATATGTAGTCGACGAGGTTGTGAAGGTAGAAGAAAGCATAACGTTCCATACGACAGACCGCCTCCTCGATATATGTGTAGATTAGTCTTAAACTAGATGGAACGAGTCAAGAGATCGTACCTTGACCATGATCGGCATGCGGCCAAATGACATACTGTTCCGTACAACATTTCCACTTGCATACTGAAGACATAAATCTGCCGTGAGACTTCCCCTGTAGCTTAATCCTCCCATTCGGCACTGCAAATACACCCACATCCGTTCAGCTGTTTTCTCATCCACCTCACCCATCTCCATGAATGTAGAAACTATATCGCACGATGTTTCTGGCATATAGAGTCTATAGTGTAACAAAACCGAAGAATGTGCAATGCAGTTCCCGTTCACAGTAGTCCAGAAGCGACGGAGGACGAGGGCTGAAAAAGACACTTTTTCCGCAGATGGCTAATTTCGAATTAGAAGTAACTGGAGAAAATCATTCACAGGTCAAAGCAGAACATCCCTAGACCTTGCGAATCTATGCAGAACACAGAACTCTCTCCAAAGTATCTCTGTTTTGCCATTCCTGGAGAGAATCCACAAGGTCCCGTAACAGAGTAAATCCCCGCGGTCTTGATTACACGATAGACCGTGAGACACATGGGTGGCTGCCTGTTTACGCATAATCATACTCCACAGAGAGTGGACACCAGGGATGCCAGCTTCGATAAAATCTCACCTCCGTGGGGAGCAGACGTTGATCCAAGGAAAGCGCTCCATCCTTTTGATCCTTCATGGGACGGTTGACTACGGGCTTATCTAGCCACAGTGAGGACAGTCAAGGAATCCCAGATATCCAAATTCGCATGTTTTCAAGAGGACATATAGTCTGGAAATTTAATTTTGTAAACCTTCACTGACCTCCAAATGCGTAACACGAAATCATTGCAGACCGACGACATCTAAAGCTAAACGGAGCGTGCTGAGAAAATCCACGACAAAAGAGAACCAAAACATTCGTGCGAGTACAGGTTTGAAAGAAGTCAAAAATCCACACGGTCGACTTACAGAGCTGATCGACACTCAGAGGTCATTCACAATTGGATGATGAAAGAAAGTTCAAATTGTAAATTTCGGTAGCTGAGTCAACATTAATTAGATACAAAATGTACGAAACGGGCTGGTGTATGAGTGAGTGTATGCAAGCGTGACAATTAAGCCGCATTAAGAGGATATTGCGAAGGTTGACATTAGAAACTGGGTGTACCACTTCCACTGATTGCATATTCTGCACTGCCGATTGCAGGCCTCGGTTTACAAAGTAATCGAACGAATCAATGTGAGGCCCCATCAAATCCAGCAGCTGCTCTGGAGCCACTACCTCCGGGCCCCCTGATCCCATTCTAGCTGCGTTCATTTTAGCCTTCCCCATTATCACAAACTCCTGAGATCCCTGGTCACTGACCAACTATGTCACCAACCTGTCCTTCCAGTCCTCCTGATAGTATGCTCATTCTCGAACTAAAATCCTGCTGCCCTCGTCAGCTGAACATTTCCCACAACCTGAACACCGCAAAACTTTCGCCCGACCTCGATGTTCTAAAGATCGTAGACAAAACCACTTCGATCTTCTCCAGCATTACTTAGGTTCCAGCAGAATCAACCAGTTCAAAATCCGCAGAAGAAATCCACAAACGCAGCTGAGTGCGCCTCCGACACAGAGTCTACCCTGCAAAATTTCTTTCGAACCGCAGCCAGCTACAATTCACGGCATTTCTCGGCACCGCCAAGAGAAAAATTGGCGATGGATTCCGTCTAAACCAAGTGAATTCCGCTACCGAACATCAAAACTGTCACCAATTTCACGAGACTCTTCTCTGGCGCAAAGAGCTGGCTGGGTTTTCCCAGGGTTTTACTCCTTAGGGTTAGGGTTTTACGGTCACTATAACGCAAAGAGACCTTCCATACTGTAAGCCTGAGAACTTGCTTCTTCGATCATGCAGGCTCTTTACCACTGGACTCACGGCAAGGGCACAACGACCGACGGTAGCCCATCTTTTGGCCTTATAAAGAAATATAATAATTCAGTAGACACCACATAATGTAGCCAAAAAGGTTCGGAATACCCCATCAAGTATTACGGAAATAGCCCCGAGTATATCACAATGAGATATTTCTAATGGTCCATTTAGAACATTGTTTGTCAAACGCTATATTATTACAAAGCATGACGGTACATGATCCTTTGATGTATCGTAAATGCATATTTAGTGGCTTACATAGAGAAGTCAGTGGATGAACAATTTGATCAAAAATGTAATACCCAAAGAAGCCAAATTTGGTATGCTATCGCATGTCACGATCATATAAACAAATGGTTGATATTACTGAAGTCTACCATGCGAAGAGACCTCGGATGCTATGGCTCCACTATTTGCCTATTTAGAGCATGCGCAAATTATTTTTTAAAGATTATATCACATGTTGGATGTGCAATAACAATGTATAATATTGATATGCATAGCTACACACATTCCCACGTCATAAACAAGCAATCTTGTGTCATAGCAGCACAACATCCTTAAGCATCATGGGTTGCTATGTTACACTCTTAAGTTAAATTTTTCAAGTGATGTGAGACTATCTCTTCCACCTACAACCAAACAACATTACATGTAGACACATTTGCGAGAGATATGTAAGCATGACTTCCGTCATCTTGTAAGTAATCCTCGACCTACTGGGCCAGCTATGTTGTTTTGGCTGATCAGGGACATTGGCTTACATGGGGTAAGATTGTTGTCTGCGTATTTTGCAATATAACGTTCTAATTTATCACTTACACGAGCCCTGTTGGCGTCAGTCACTAGAAAGTGAAACTCTTGGGCACCCGCACCACAACCGGCTACGGGGTTGCCTTCATCGCAAAATGTAGGAAGAATCACATAACTTGTCGGTCAGAGGACACGGACACAGCCGGTCATGCTCCTGTACGGAGTGTCATGGTCTTCAGTATGCGATGGCGGATCGTGTCCACTGTGGCCACAGGTCCCGTCTCTTCCTCCTGGCAGAAGAGTCAATGCAGTCCAGGACTCAAGCAGACAAAGGCGAGGATTCGACGGTTGGAGGTAAGAGCTCGCGTGCTTCGATGACCCGTTCTTGGGAATGAAGCCTTCAAGTTTTTGGGTCCTGTCTGAACAATCCATCTCTCGTGTGCACTTCACTGCCTAAGTCTTGTGGTCGATCAGCTTTTGCAGAGGGAGATCTTTCAAAGGAATAACTGATTTTCATTTGATTGCATGTGAAATAAGAGTCATGGTTCTTAGATAGATTTGGGTTGCAGGAATCAGAAAACGCACGTTGGTTTGCATGAAATGTTGGTGCACTCTTGAGGTACCTTGCTGGTCGAGAAGTGTGAGAGCAATGACAGTTTTCGAGAAACATAACAGCTGAGAAACCAGATGTTAGCATGTGGTGAGTTGCTCTAATGCTGGGAACGGCTTCCTTTAACTGCACACGCATCACACATGACGAACAACTACAGTATTGCACCATCTGCCTCTTTCAGTTGCTGGCTCCACACAATATCAATAAAATACTAGCAATTCGAGACATAAGGTTTCAAATTGCACTGAGGCTAATGATCAAACTTCGAGGGATATCATACTGGAGTTGGCATTCTGCTCTCGACCGGACATCAGGTGTCCAGTAGACTTGGATCGCATTTAACCTGAAGCATGATGATGGGATTATTGGAAAGCAGCGGCGGAGGCTCGTTGCTCAGGACCTAGTGGTGAAAGTCACTTGACGATGTATCTCCGCTGCGTTGTACTGGATTTTTCCACAAGATATAGAAGGTCAAGGGACTGCAAATCGCTACAAACAGCAAATCTGAGTCCACTAAATTGTTATTGCTCAAGTCTTATTCAAAGGTCCTAGCCTGTTGCGGATTTTCGTCATTGACATTGTAGAGGAGAGGATTGTGTTTGGCAATCCCATGTCAAGTCTATGCGTTTGTTTTCTCTGAGATTCTTCCCTACACGAGCTGAAATCTGGCGATAACAAACTCCCATCTGTGTATCACTGTCGTTTCGAGATTGATAATTCACAGTGCAAATGCATACAAAGTTGGGATGTGAGTGAATTTTCTCTCTGAATAAGCCGCGGTGGAGGATAAGGAGGAAGCGAAGCATTTTATATATTGATAACGTCATCACAGCCTTAGTATGTGTCGTCTGGGGAGCTTTTTCTCGGTGATGACCCCGTAGATGTACTCGTGTTACGAGTTTCAGCTATTTCTGACATCTCTGCTCGTATTTCTCCTTCAGAGAGACTTTGAATCAAACTATCCTTTTCGACCGGCTTTGATTTCGCCTTCATCTGTTGGGAAACAATTCTGCTCATTTCTCCTGGTTCTGACACATCGTCTCTGACTACATCATGGGTGTAACGAAAGTTGCGATGGGCAAATGCAGCACTCAAATCAGCTTGACCACATTCACCTTCTGAACGCAGGCCCCCGGCTTCAACTTCACCTGAATGTAAAGATCCAGCTTTGATTAGGTTCCTTCATAGCCAAGTACCACTCACGCTATTTCTCATATAGTGTGAAGCGCGCGCGCCTTCAACGACATGCAAAACATTTCCTGCCAATTGTTGCTACAGGTAGATGTCAAGCGCCTTTTCGCCAAAATTCACCTCGACGACTAGCCTCTTGACTCGCGAAACGAAACGAAAATACAAAATCACTTTTGTATGATCCTCAAAATCAGTACGTGTACAAAAATATGTGTACTTAAATATGATTTCATAAATATGGCTCGCACATATTAGGGTACTGTTACTCCTTACACAAATTCACATCACCATCATCCTCCATCCCATACCATAAAGTTCATTCTTGACATTACATCTTGTGAGTTGCACTGAACGCATCTGGACCCACTGAGACTGGAGTTTACCTTCCGAAAACGGTATGCCATGATTTTTGACAACCTTAGGCCACCTCGTCGCAAATCTCTTGACATGCGCTTCCAACGGATATCTCACACCATCAGCCTGCCTTTCAGGTTCTGGAGATGAGGCTTCAATTTCACCCGGAGACTGAGTTCTTGTTTTCGTCAACGGGAAACGACGTACTGGTCCGGTCGAAACCCGGTCCATCTGTTCCAGTCCTTCATCACTCAGTCTGGAACATACAGAAAAGTTCGACGAGCCAGAACCATCGTACGAATCTGCCAGCTCGGCACTTCCGGCGTAATCATAAGATACGTAAGGTCTGATCTCGACATCCTTTCTTGTACCTGCGGAGAGGACTCAAACTTTAGTAATTTCGAGGCTTAACACACCTCAGGTAATGCTATCTAAGCGGTATACTGGAGTAACACCTGAAGAAAAGAAGAGAAACTTACTTAATCATCACCTAGAATTGTGAAAACACCCCGTGACATGGAACTAGACTTGTAGAGAGGTAACCGCGTAACTCTCAATAACATGCAAGACACACCGCAGTGTTCCCGTTACTGCGCAAGGGTTCGGGAGTTCGTAGCGCTAGTAATGTCCAAATGAACAAGAAATTTGCAAGAGCCTCGGATTTCCAAGTCTTAGAAGTAGAGTACCATTCAGGAGCTTGGGATTTCATGTTCACATACCACTTATCCCTTCCGCTGAGACAGTGCATAGCTAGCTACTGTAGCGTTATCGATGATTAGATGCTAGAAGTGCTATGTGGATGTCTGCTGGTCTAGCATTAGTTCCTTCGCTGAATTAAAACTCTTAGTACCCTAAATACATGACTTGTTGGGTTCTAGATGCATTTCAACCCATTTCACTAGATGCATTTGAACACAGCATATCAGCATGATCAGATAAAAGACTGAAGGTAAGAACGAAATCTTACTTGTAGATGTTGAAGACAATGACCCAGGTACAAGCTCAGCACTGTCATATGAAAATACAATAATCAACTCACAGGGCAGAGTATAAACTTAAGGAAGATGGTTTGCGACATCCACTTTTTCGACCAAAGCATAAGAACATTCATAACTTGGCTTAGTGGTACAGAAGACTTAACCATTAAACTTCTCGATGTCCGTTATGCTTACCTTCTATTCTGATTCGAGATACCGGGCATGTGAGTGTGGAGGCTAGACTCCTTTTCGTCCTTCTCGGTTAGAGGATCTTGCAATGAAACTGCAATTTCCTCGGCATCCAGCTTTTGTTCAGTCTGGCGATATGTTTGATCTCCTTTTGGATCCATTGCATCGTCTGTATTGTCTGCTGAGAACGACGCTGCCTGGCGGTTCTGGCTCATACGATGACGAGCTAAAGCTGAAGCAACCCGTGCTTCATGCTCAGGAGAAGAAATTGGGGTACTAGGTGTTGCGGGCGATGGAAAGGGTGAATCAGAAGATAAAGAACTTGAACTCCTACTGTCTAACACAATTTTGGTAGCAACATCTGGATTAAATAAATGACGTTCCACCTTTTCAAGGGAATTGATATCACGGGTAGCTTGGAGGTCCTCCTCAGCAGCAGTTGTCGTCGCAACAGAGCGCAGGCCTTGTGGAATTTTTTGGAATGGTGTGGGAATTTGCATGGAATGAAATTGAGGGTAGCTGTCTGGCTGTGGATAAATGGGGTACGTTGAATAAGGTGGAAACATTGGGCGACCGTCAGGTAGGCAGAAAAATGGAACAACGTACACAGGGTTGAGAGCTTGTGCGATAGACAAGTCGTTGGTTTGTACACCGGTTGAACTTCTCTCATCTACATATGAGGCAGTTTTCTTTAGTTGTGGGGGTGCGCTAGCAAATGCTAAGCTCGACAGACCGGGAAACTGACCAGTTTCTCTCTCGTCAATTGACGAGATGTGAGAGGGGAAGGAAGAGGGTTGAACGTCTGCTGATGCTGGTGACTGCAGCATCACAGTTGACACGTCATTACAAGCTTTTGGTAGGGAAGTCATCGAAGAATTTCGAGATAACTTATTTTCGATATCTCCTTCGACCTTTCCTTCCTCTTCATCATCAACACCCAGATACTCGGGCCAGTCCTCATCATCTACGCAGGACACCGACCGACTCTTTTTCTCTGCTAAGAAAGTACTGTCACTCCAGGCTCCACCAGATGACGTAGCTGAATCACTAGATTGCTGAGTTGTGGGTGATTGTTTCAAGTCAGCTTGCTGGTTTCTAGGTGACTGTCTCAACTCGTCAACTATTTCCAGCACAGACGCCTCTTCCCTGCGGTCAACCTGAACGCATTGCGGACTTCTGCACATTGCGTTGAAAGTTTCAGATATTAGGCCAGACTTTTTTAGGGATATCCCGAGTTTTCAACTGAATAGAGAGGTTGAGAAATAATAGTATCTTTTAATAGTCTATTAAAAAAAATTTGAGATTGTACACATACAACCTTGAAGCGTTAAGAAATACCCTGTTAAGGAAACGTTCTTCCTTCATAACAGATTGCTTGTCAAAAGTGTCAGTATGTGATGTAATAAAGTGGACAGTTTCACACTGAAAATGGGACCTAAATCTTGAGCCACACGACTATGAACGTATGCATTGAAGCTCAAGACTGAGCAACACTGAAGTCTACCGCTGGAGGATTAATATATGTATATCAATCAGAATAGGAAAATCGTGATACCTATGAGCTGCTGCAGATGATGACATATCCTTGAGAGGAGCAAGGACAGATTTCGAATTCTTCACCAGATCATCTCTCAAAACAGTTTTCAACACAAGTTCTAATAATGCCAGTTCTAACTCTTCACTCTCTGTTATCCTGTCTTCCGCAGATGGAGATGACTGTTTCGTGCCTTCCCATGAAGAGGTCATCTTCGGAGACTTCCGTTTGAAAGGGTCTAGGTTCTCAACAACTTCAGAACCAGTAACAGATGTTGCACCTTCATGCCTTTTCTCAAGGTTGTGGGTTTCCAATCTACTTCCATCGGTTCCCTCCCTGTACTCAAAGACAACATCTGTAGACGAATCTGCAGGTTCTAAAAGGAAGCCTGTTAGTTCCTGACGTTGGAGATTGATATCATAAGTTTTGGACATATTGTTTTTGTCCTGCACTTCGATATTCTTACGATTCTCCTTAACAATATCGCCTTGAATCTTAATCTTCGTCCTTGTCTGCATCTCTTCTCTGTCTGCAGATGATACTGGATGGCCGGGTTGATGAATATGACCACTCAGTAAACCCGTGCAGTCTCCACCAGAAGTGTCCTGAGGAGCTCTTTTATTCATTTCTTGTAGTCTCTCTCTAATTAATGTAAGAGAACTGAATTCTTTTGGAACTCCCACCTCTGCACTTTGAACACTCCATGAATGAAGCGAAGCTCGATCTGAAGAGCTCCGAATTTCAGCGCCTTTCAGAATGGTTGTACACGAATCTGGCATTTCTAAGCCTTCCTTTCCGTCGCAAACTGTGTCCAAAAATTCGAAGCCTCCACTAACGTTCAGCCAGTTTTCTACAGAATATCTCATACCTTTGTTTAATGTGTGAACCCCTCTGTCAGAATCCCTCCCCACTGGACTAGGCTTCCAACTTCCTCTATTTAACACGGCGTCCTGCTCACTCTTGCCTCCTGTAGTCGATTTCGGTAATTTTGCTAATGCACTAGCTCTCGGACCGTCCTTTCTTGTAAATTTGCAGGGCATGGGAGAGTACCGTGGTTCCCCAACTTCCACCACCCCCAATTTTCGGGGTCCTCTCTGACTATCTTCTTTTCCCTGTTTGACATTGAGTAACCTTGCTCTGTCCTTGCCTTTTAAAGATGCAAGATTAGTTGAGTAACCACCCAACCTGTCAAGAGCTCTCATTTGTTTTCTCGTTGCATCTTGCAGCGATCTCGGCTTAACCTTTTGATAATGTTTCGATTTACCACCTGACACCTTGTTTAGCATTGTAAGCAATAGATCATGAGCTTTCTTTTGCCCCACGAACTTTCTCCCCAGTTCTGTCTTCTCCTTTGACGTCTTCAGACGACCATCATATCGACCTACTTGTTCCTGGCTTCCCCAGTGATTCTCCAAACAATAGGGCCTTTCGTCAGTTGGTCTGAACCGGCCCTTATTCTTCGCAAGCTCCCTTGTTTTGCTACCCCGGTTCTTCTCTTGATCTTCTGCATTTACAGAGTTTGTAACTCTCCACGATATTGACCCATCTTTCTTTTGCTTAAGATGTGTACTAGTACACATTTTCTGTGTTCCGGTCTCATCAGGATCAGTATTCAGTTCTTCGTTGTGTCCGCTCACAGAAGTTCTTCGCTCTGAGTGTCTTGCATGTTTTGATGTGTTACTTTCTGTAAGAAGTGCTCCACATGATACGAGAAATGCCTTCATTCTTTCAGACCAGCTCTGCTTCTCTGAAGCCCTCTCCGCAGTCTTGAGATGAAAGGCTTTGCCCTTGGTGGCTTTACTCCCAACTCTGACCAGTTGAGCTCTCAAAACGCTACTTCTTTGATTGTGAATGTCATCACTAGATGGAGTCAGTACCCACTTACAGAAATCGGAGCTGAAGTCAGATTTCATCGTACTGTCCCCTTCTCCACGTTTCGCTTCATTCAGATAGTTCTGTACTACCTGACGGCCCTGCAGATTTTGTTTCGAGGCCATCTCTTTTCCTCTCTTCGTTCCAACTGACGCATGAATTGTCACATCATTTGGCTTCCGCAAAGCATGAAGAGCTACATTTTTTATGCCACTCATTTCGAGAAGGGTCGAATCACTCATCAGATAGTCGCTCTTTTTACCCTTGCTGCTGGCAACTTCGGTAGGGAACCAGGAAACTGGCATGGAAACCTTGAAAGTTGACCCAGGAGGCCGCAAAGTCTTCCGCCGGATAAAAAATTGAGACCCAGTGGGCCTGTCTGATTCGTCTTCAGGGAATGAAAATTTGACACGAGTCTTCTCCAATTTGCAGCTTTTCCTCATGCCAGGATTTTTTAAACAGCTCTTAGAACCTGTTTCCATTTGGTGGGAAGCTCTAACGCTGATTGAAGTATCAGAGTTTCTCATTTTACTCTTGATGTTGTTAGCGAAGATATTACTTCGTCCCAGATTATGGATCTTCGGTTGTATCGTGGTGTCCAAGACTTCTTCACGCGAAGTGGCAAGACTCGAAGTCGCTCCAACTGATATAGTTTTCTTGCCCGAGTCTGATCGAAGAAGCTTTTTACCAGACTCTCGAAGAGGAGAAATAGCACTGCGGCTTCGCTTATTGCCAGAAGACCCAATTTCTTTATTGAAGACTTTCGTACCCCGTACGTTGGAATCCTTATGTAGATCCAATGATTCCTCTTTGCTGTCCTGAAATGATATTTCAGTTCAATGAAAAAATTCAACGCAACTTCCGTACTGATACATTTGTAATGATTAGCTCTTGGACATCAGAACAACCTGAGTAAAAAATTTGAAATCCAAGCTCCTCACCAGTTTCCAAAAAGTGAACGACAAGACGTGTTTTTCCGTCAGCACAATATACCGTAATGTTTGAATTAGCCAGTAGCCTGCAAATTTTCCTAGGAACTCACTCTGCACCCGAAAGAAGTCACCTTGAACTACCTTCTTTTGTCGGATCTTGAAAGGCCCAGGTTGGAGAAGCATCAACTTTTGCCCCAGCCATTCAACCCTCTTCCGTTCAGTCGCGAGCTCACCTAGATCCTTTATACGTGTATTGCCATCAAAATCACAAACCGGGTGCAAACAATCGTTGTCAACCTCTGCTGAGAGTATAAGAAAATTCTCACGAGCAACTAACAACTATATTCCCGTAGCGGACACTAATCGACTTAGGATGCAAGCTTATCGAGATCAAAGTGTAAAACCTTCCTAGTTATCCACTATCTGTTAAATTCTTTTCGAGACGTTGGTAGGATGGACGCATAACTTGCTTCTCGCTTTGTGGCAATAAAGCTCTAGATTTATCTGACTTCCACCAATTTAAACTGACGTTCAGCACAATTTAGACACACGTAAAGAAAGGTGACAAAATGGAAAACCTCAAAGCACAAAATTGCAAGCACGTTGCATTATAACTGTTACTTCAGGTCTAGAATCTGAATTAATGTTTATTCCTGAGGTTTCTCTCAGAGCAGAACTGTCATCTTCTCTTTGATGAAATCAGAATTTACAGCACAACAGAAGTGTTCCTTAGGGCGACAATTCGCACCGCAATGAAGTTCCCTGTGGAAGGATTCGGGCTACAGATACAAAAAGGTAGAACTGAAATTGACATCTGAGAATATGTAGAATAGAAGTAAACATTTAGTGGACAACAAACGAGTGTTCATCTGACTCAATGTCAGAATCATCTGCTAAATTGGTTAATATCAAGCTCAACACTTATTGCATAAACCCACGACTCCACTGGTCAAGTTGTAAGTACACCACATATTAATGTCTAAGAACAACAACAAATACAATACACGTTATATTGGTCCGATGCTCCATCTTAAATGCACTTCACATAACATCTACCTCGAATCTGTTGCAGAAACTTTCCTCTACAGGATATTAAATCATAATGCAAAAGTCTCTCGATCAACATATCCCCGGAAAACACGATCTGTGCGATAATGAAGGAGAATGGACGTCCTTGATTCCGATCATTTTAACTATGTCGACTACTATCGAGTTAGTCAAGCTACTGAACACCAACTTGCAAATGATTATTATACATTTTGAAGGAGCTTACTTCGTAGTGTCATTCTCTCACCATTGCGAAAATATAATTTGTTCTCGGGGGTGCCTATAATCGGGTCTAATGCAGACTGTTTGCTTCCTCATAAGGTACTGGCGATTACAAATTACAGACAGGCATAGACTTTCCGAAAATATCTTCCTGGGAATTCGCACGGACACAAAACTGAATGTTTACAGAAGTCATGAGCAAAATAGATCGAATGTACCGAGAGTAGACCTTTGGTATCTTTGTTCAAGGAGACGGTGTGCATAGGCATGAATACTACCCATTTCCGAAGCTAGCAGGTACATATTAAGAAGTAGAAGAAGACCTCGCATCTACTTAAGCAGAAATCGTGCCCTATACACATATACGAAGTTAACTGCGATCGACGGATATGAAGAAAAAATGATATTGTCTTTATGAAGCGCATAATATATAGGGGACCTAAACTAGGTTGCAGAATGTTCCAGGCAGAACTCAACAGCCAAGGTCCTTAGGGGTATAGTCTTCAAGTCCAGCAACTTCAGTTGCCTTAGGTCATCCAGGTACTCTACTCAATTTCCTGCACACAATGCAGTACCATCGTGAAGCATCAAGTTGACTGAAAAATAACATTCCCCAATAAGGTAGTTTACAGTATGTTCCAGACATATATGTTCTACGGGATTACGTTATCAGCCGGTCATAGTCCGTGAAGACTGCCAAGTAGGAAAGTTTAGGGTTTACGGTAGTCACATACACAACCGTATCTCAATATGGCAATGTCCGCGACTATGTGGCTACAAAAGTTTGAAGTCTTTTCTGCTGGCTTTGCAATGTTGACCGAGAGGGATTTGAGTGCTCTACCCATCATTCTACTGTTCAAGTTTTGTGAACTCTTGTGTTAGTGTCTGCCCTGAAGACGGTTGCAGTCTAACTTTCTTCGGTGACTTGAATAGTAGTGGTATGAGTTTGACTCTTCTAGACACTAACTCCGTGGTTTTAGTAGATACCAAAACATTTTGAACTGCGTATGTGGATGCACGTTAATTTCCTATGTGAGAAGTTGTTAGGTGTCTTCCTTACCATAAAACTTTTAAATTTTTTACGTCTAAATATTCACGTGATATCAAACTTTAGTTTGTAATTCTGTACAGATAAGTAACACAGTTTTTTCATAACCATTTAGATTATGTAGAAGTAGAAACGTTATATATATATATATATATATATATATATATATACTTGTGATGTATTTAGAGTGTATCTGCAATTTGGATAACTCTTGATTTTAAAATAATTCAACAGATATATCTATTTAGGGTGTGAATATTCAGGCTTAATTAAACTGAATTTTCAGGCTAATATTCACTCCAAATGATCAAGACTCCAGCGTGATTTTTTGTATATAGTTAGTCGTCTATACATTTGTTCCTATCTACTTTTTTTTTAGTCTCATCCAAAGCAATAGTGGAGTAATTCAATCCTTTTGAAATATCGATTCTAGCAACCAATGACCGCAAACACTTCCAATCCAATTCTGGTGAGCTTTTCCTACTTTCTTCAAGTCTAATTGTAAAGGACTTCCTTGTGCATCTTCTTGTGACAAAACTGATGTACCTAGGATGTATTGAATATTGGTTAATTCTTGCACTTTCTCTACTCACTAGACTCTATACTACAAGAAAGTAGGTGAGCTAGAAAAACTCAAATCTATACAACGAAGATACTCCCAAGTTTGAACAGAACATCAGAAGAACTCGTTGAAGGTCATACATCAGGAATCCTAGCTGCATAAAAGTCTAAGAAGTCAAAAGAACCACACTAAAGTAGCATCTCGCGTAGTAGATTTCGGATTTCTGAAGCTGGGCAAATCAGTCGGAAACAGTCTTGGAAGGAGGTAGCAGACTCAAGATAAATTGACGCAGACCTACTCACCCGATCTTTAGGTACCCCAACAAAAAAAAGTTAGAAAAATACCTTGCGAAAGCGGTCGTAGTCAAAATCATCGCCAATCGTGTCCCGAACAAGTTGCTTTGCTCGTGTAATGTTACAGTTTGACTCTTGCCTTGGTTCACGATACACGAATCGGTCTATTCCTTCCCCGGCAGCCAGTACAGAAATTCCACTTTGCGGAGTTCTTCGTCGCTGATGTGGCTGGGTTGAAGAACGGAAGCGTCCAGAGGTTTTCTGGCCCTCGGACTTCTGCTGTGAGCAATCTGCCTTATCTGTACGCCCAAAGTGCCTTTCAAATCTGTTATCGCAATCTGAAGTGATTGGAGAAACATTTCGCTGGTACATGGACGGAGGGTAAACTGGATTTTTCTTAAGCAACTGCGGACATTCTTGTGAGAGGGGTGCTTGTTTCTGAGGCCGAAAGTGTCCTGACTGGGTTCTCGGTCCCGGCTTGTGCACTGTTTTCCTGAAGCCACGTTTGCTAGATGCCATAGAGTCATCACTTTGATGTTGCTCTTCGTTTCTTACAAACTCCGGGGTGCGATTTCGCATTAAAACTCGAAGTTCGTTAGCCAGACCCGCAGCAGCTGCTTCAACCTTCTCCTTTCTTTCAAACGATTCAGGCACCTCATCTTCATCATAATTGATGCTGCTTGTGCAATCAGAGGATGAAGTCGCTTGTCGAGTTGGAGACTTCAAAATGGATGGTCTCTTTCCTCTTCTTAGCTGTCAAATGAACCCCCAGTATACAAGACTAAGCATCACCGCATAGACTACAAAGTTGTAACCTGAACAAAAGCCATGTCCATGCATTCGAGGACTGAGTAAATAGAAGACTTTGAGCAATCGTTAAGTCTAATTAGCAAAAAATTTATACAGTATCGGGTGATCAGGTTTGAATTAGTACATGAATATCAAGAGGGGGCCTAGCAACTGCAGATGCAGAATGCCTTCTTCTGCAATCAGTATCTTCGGTACTTTGACTCCCTTCTTGTTGTTCTTCATAATGCCCTTCTGAGTCCAGTCCCGAAGCTCCTCTTGGGCTCTTCAAAATTGGTTGGGATGTATCTTCCTCCTGTAGCATCATTGAATATATGCAGTATGAGATGTATAAAGATATTTGATGCAAGAAGGTAGAACGTCTGGAAAAGTTGTCAGGACATCCTCTGACGAAGGAAATTACTGAATCAGGAGAGTCAGAAGGACAGTTTCTGGATCCTACTGTGAAAGCACGTAGTCCATGGGCTACTTTACGCGCCTGGGTATCTGGAACCACAGGAACAATAATTCCATGACGATTTCTGCAACTGAAGTCGTCCACATCCTCGTTGTCAAGGCTTGTGGAGCCAACATGGGATTCAGTCGATAAAACTGGCAATCGTCTCTTTGACTTCAATATCGGAAGAGGAAAACCTCCGTCCAACTGTTGAAATATTCAACCAGGAAAGAAGGCAATATTATGGACTTTTACATGCTTTCGATTGCAATTCTTGCTGATATCACTCCCGCTGACTGCACTCTCAATTCCTGTCTACGAGTGTCATCATCCAACATTTAATTCTGACCAAGGGTTGTTATACTGCATTCAAGACAACTAACAACTTTCTATATGCACGTTCCTGCTCTTAGTCAATGAGCAATTTTTAGGTTGAATGTAGAAAGTTAGTAAAGTCTACATCCGTCAGATGGGCAAGAAAGATAAAATGGCCAGAGAGTTTCTAGGTTCAACTCAAAGGCAGTCAAGGAAAGAAGAAGATATAAATAACCGGAATATAGACAAAATAAGCCGCTCGGCTCAGGCTCAACACAAGATTGTGAGTATAAAAGCTGTCATGCGCAAGCAAGGAAATATGTCACCGTCCTGGTCTGGTGCTAGCGCTAAATAAGTAATAACCAACCATACTATCAGCTTGTATAGCTTCCTTCAGGATCCTTTCAGGAAGATGAATGTATGTCATTCTCCCTTTCTGCTGATAAAGGTTTCTTATAGTGCGTCAGGAACATTAAGCATGCATCGAGAAATGACCAGGATAGACGTCGAGACGGATTCTGGTTCCCCCGAGGATGGTTGCTTATACGCATACAAAAGTTAGTCGACGGAATGTGCAGCGTTATGTAAAGTAAAAAGCAGCACTGGATCCAATAAGTGTACACCCAACTTTCAAACTTACCTGTACCCTCTTTTGAACGAGTCTTTGAGATTGTTGACTCTCTGCGGCTCTCTTTTCAACGAATCTTGGAGATTGTTGACTCTCTGCAACTGCATCTTCAATAACTTCGTTGTCAGCCAGTTCATGAGCTTGTTTGGCCAAATTCTTGATTGTTCTATCATATCTGTCATAAAATTTCTTTGGACTGTAAAAACTGTTCTTACTTGAATCTGAGGCTGGAGAGTGAAACCTGACAGATTTCGTAACCTTCCCTCCTGCAACAGAATCACGAAAACGAACAATTCGATGGCAAGTTTCCGTCGGTTGTGTCGGACCCTCATCCTTAAACCTTATGGGCCCAAGACGACCCTCTGCAGATCCTACGACTTGCTTGTATGAGGTTGTCGCACCACAGCATTTATGGTATGCGTCATCAGAAGTGCTCTGCCTCTGAGTCTGATAGGTTGATGTTCGTATTACTTCATTGTCACTTTGCCCCCGAGGAGTCCATACAATTGAAGGAGGCCGCTCACCTACTTCAATCTCAACCATAGATCCATTTATTTTAACGGAAAAAGCTTGCGGATTTGCAGTACCAGCTTCATCAACTGCGCGTTGATGTTGGTAAGGCTTCCTTGTTACTCCCTGAGCAGGAGCTCCTTTGTAGATCTTGACGGACCTTCTTTCTTCACTTGAATTTTTAGGCATATCAAAGCCATCATTGATCAAGTCTCTAGCTTCATTTGTATCATCGTTGACCTCATTACTGTCACCAGGCATTACAGCAGTGTGAATTGAACATCCTGGTTTCTGCATTTGAGAGAGCGTCCCATGAGCGTAGTGATGTTCATGGTCAAGGTTACGAGGCTCTGACGAAGAAATGTTCGCAACCCCTTCCTTCTGCTCTTTGGGTACCATGCTATTTGGAGAAGCATATTCATGCAGACGTGTATTATTTTTTCTTGGAGCTAACTCTGACCGTGCCGAGAGGTCTCGTTTTGAATCTAAAGCTGCGATTACTTTCTGCAAGTAATCTTCTGGCTCTTCTGATTCACTTGATTCAATCAAACGACTAGCTAGACCCAAGGCATCAGAACCTTCCGAACCATCTTTGTACCCTTGCCAATCACCAACAATCTTGACTTTTGGATGTTCGACGTCAGACCCAGTTGTCAACCTGAGATTTCTAACGTTGCTTGAAGGAACTGTACCAGTCCGCGCTCGATATGCTGCGAGACCTCTCATATCTATTGTCCGTTGATTCCCAGTTGCAGAGCTCGTCCTAGGCTCTGGCTGCGTTCGCCAGTCTGCAATAGTCTGGCTGCGTTCGCCAAGGCTCTGCAAACAACAACTTGCTCTTGGTATCAAGAAGAACCTTCATGACTCCTCAAAACTTGCTTCGTTCTTATAACTTCACCAATTGCCTGTTCTGTCCGAAGTACAGAATTCTATTGAAATGATATAGATGATGCGTATGGAATGAGCGTTCTGCCAATTTGAGCTGAGAGATAGCACCTGAACCTGCCCGAAACATTATTCCAAATACCAATTGGAATTGGGGTACGATTAGTACGAAGTTTGAAGATTCCACCCACCTCTAGAGCGTGTCTGATCCTTGTTGCCATCCTGGTGGCCAATCCAGAGTCTCGGTTGAAGTAATTTTCCAACTTCGACAAACTTTCAAGTCCAGAGAGTGCGAATAAACTTGACATCCCAGCGCTTTGGTGCTGCACACGATTACCATATACTTCATGGTCCCTAGAGGAAGTATTGTGAATCGCATTGGTTTGGGAGGAGCCAGGCCTTTGGTCGTTTACTGTTGCCCTTTCTGATGCAACCACAGGTCGCATGCTTTGAATATTCCCAGAAGAAGCAATAAGGGAAGGTTGAGTTATTTCGACGGGCATATCGTCAGCAGAAGTACGTATAGGTGACGTCGACTTCTCACAAGAGATCAGACGATCTGGGATCGGAGCCGCAACCTTGGTTGGTATTTCTTCGTAAACATATCCCACGAGTTTAAGAGATCGCTTGCAGTCTTCTGAAGACATAGACTGCGACAATTGCGCACCGACGACCTTCGTCTCAGGGGTTTTCACGTCTCTGGAGTTATCCGCGAATTCTCCGTTCTCCTGCAAAAGCAGCCTCCACAATGACCACTCTGGCTCTCAAATCAAATACAGGAACTTGAATAGATACCTCTCACTGCATGTACACAGACGTATATCAAATGGTAGTGGAGACATATTGTGGACAGTCATGTATTTCATCTCACCATACGATTTTGTAGCCAACGCCGTTCTTGCTGCAAAGCCTGGAGCTTAGGCATGCTATTTCACCGTGGACTCTACTTATGTGTGGCTCGGTGACCTCTTACCAGTGATTTAGTCCCGACATCTGGGGACGTTTGTGTCCTCTCATCCATCAAAGGAAGAACTGTGACTGTAGGAGTACACATATAATTCTCGGAATTGAAGAGAACGTGCTGGTTGTAGGAGTCCTCGTCTTTGCTTCTTGCACTAAAAAGAACATCTGGATTGTGGATGTCAAGCCTTGCAGACTCTTGATTTTGACTCTCGAAGTGCTTGTGTGGAACCGAAAACAATTTCCCAAATTTGTGATACGGATTTGCTGTAAAACAAGGAGTGGCAGCAATTCGAGCACCTGAATATGAGAAGGAATAATCCACAATTTCGTCCTCGAAGCAAGCATTGGAGATCCAGGGTTCTGGAGAACTCCCGTCATTTGACGATAGAGAGGCTTCTTCTATGTTGTTAAAAGTCTTATCGTCCGTTGAGCCGTAAGAAAATGGCTCGTTATAGGATCTTTGTAACTCTCCATCAATCTGGAATTTCAGATTAGTCAGCAAAGGGAGGCAGCTGAGTGCTCGACCTAAAACTCTTGGATCTTTATCTTCTTTTGATTCGTCCGGGCCATCCAGCTTCTGCTGACAAAGTTCATGCTTACTTCGTCTTTCTCCAGAGCTCTCGGTCAGGTGTGCGCCATCTTCTTCAATATTTTCCAAAGTGCTCCTCGTGCCTGAGTCATCCTCAGCCGCAACTTGGCAATCAGGAAGTTTGAGGTTATAGGTTGTTTCGCTCTCTGGATTTCCATACTGTGATTCTTCAAACTGTTCTGATTTGGATTCTTCATCAGAATCCCCTGGAACCTTACACGTTTGATTTGTCTTTACAGGTTCACGTGTTTCTTCTGAAGGCTCGATGTCGACAGAGGTTGGAACTGCATCTAGATCACCCAAACATTGTTCTGTACACCGGAGAGGAAGTAACAGATTGATTTTCAAGTCATCACAATGACGATTATCTTCTTCGATCGGAGACGTGATCTTCTCAGTTCTTGGATCATTATCACATTTTGCCGATCCTTCATCAAAGTGCGTGGGGCAATGCCTTACTTCTGTACATCCTTTCCCAGCCCACTGACAGCCGCACAGCTGGCTCGTTTCCAGGATATCATGTGAGGTTTCAACATCGTTATTAGGAAACTCACTAGCGACATCATTGAAAGCCCCATTCTCATTGCCTTCGGCTTCGACATCAGCAGTCGCCGGAGCAGAAACCCCAGATAACGGCTCCCGAGAATCCCACAATGCACCATCTTCGGAAGAAGCCTCGCTGTCGATCTCTGCAGGTTATCAATGTGTAATAACGTGGATCAGGATACATGCTCTAAACTGCAGAGATTAGCTTAGAGAAACCAAAGTAACCTTCAGTCTTCTCAACCAGGCCAACAACAGCTGAAACGTAGCACCCTTTACCAAGGCTTTTATCCTCGTCAATGAAAGCTTATTCGTTGCTTACACCATGCCAACAACTCTTGGAGTCCAAAAGCAAAAGAATCATAAACCTGTCATGAAGGGGATGCAGCAAGGAAACAGTAAAAGACACGAAACGAAGTTTATTATTCTTGTCAAGATGAAATCTCTGCACAATAAAAAGCGCTGGGAGAAAAAAATTGAACAGAGCTTATCCTCGTCATCTGATGTTTTATTAGTAATAATCGAAATTGTTGATGAGGATATTATGCCCGCAACGTAGCTTACCAAGTCGGGCAAGAGAGGGCCAGCGGCGATCAAGCCTTGGCAACGAACGAATGCAACCGACCTCTTCGCGAAATCGGTGAAACTCGTGGCGCAAACGCGCTAGGCCAGCCAATCCTCTCCCGCGGCTCATTCTGGTCACGCGTTTTGGACCCACCATGCCTAAAATTTTGCAGAGAAACGCATCTTCGACTTCAATCAACTCGATCTTTCCTCCGATTCAGTGTCCTCGATCGTCTAGTACTCGCATCAACTCGCATAGACACTTCCAACAGCGGCGCTTAGGGTTCTACCAAAGGAAATTGTCTGAGAATTTTGTATCAGAAGAAAATTCAGTTTCTAAACCCAAGATCTTTCAAAGTTGAACATTTTATTCGGTGTAATCAGGAATTTAAGGTGGCTGATGGATTATTTCTCCGAACAATGTGCAAAGTTGATCATCAGAGTTCCGACTGCTCACTGTCGAAATTATAGGAACAGACGTTCAAGCCTTTTCGTTGCGGCAAATCAAGACGAACGTTTGGTTTCTCTTCAGAGGATATATGTAACATACATTTCAAGATTAACGAACTTGCAACGCAGATCTGCCCACTGCCCCAAATTTCCACTTTTCCGTCACTAAATCGTCTTCTGCTTCATTCCAGTTCTGATATTACTAGTGCGAACTAGTTTCTCCCAAATCACAATGCAAGGACCACCAACTTTCAAGCCATTTCAAGCATTGTTTAAAAATGGTGTTAAAAAATCAACCCCGCTTAAAACTTTTCAATCCTCGACGATCATCTTTGATAATTCAGGCCTTAATTTCCTTCGTCATGAGGTTCTTGTCATGACACGTGGAAATGTCCAAACAAATGAAGTCTATTTCAAGAGGAGATCCAACCTCCTAATGTCTAAATCTATGGTAATGACAGTGGAAGGGTAGTAATGTACTGTAGTTGCACAGGTTGAGCACATCTTGATAAATCCATCATTCCCCACAAAGTTGGAGGAAAGGACTGTAGTACAATAGTAACAGCTACAAAACTGTAAAATAATCTGAGACAGAAATTGCAAAAGATGCGATGCAGAGCATCATAGAGAAAACGGCATGAGAGAACTGAAGGTAAACTATGTCGTACTTTGCAAGTGCACCGAGCAAAGAACCTCACGGGTAGAGAGACCTTCGATGCCCAATCGACGAAGGATGGCCAAAGCCTGATCGGGCTGAAAGAAGGACACGGGCATACGACATCGGCCAGTAAGGATAAAAACCAGAGCACATGGACAACAACAGATTGTATTTACTTGCATGAGTGAAAAGATCGAGGAAGAATAACACGGCCGGAAAAGGGACCAGGAGTTGAAAGGTCAAAACCCAAAAGGGAGCTGACTTTGAGTGTCAAATTGAGTGACATGACCAAAATAGGGATGTCAGAGAAAAAATATAAACTGCATCCTTACCACCTTTCAGGGAAGACGTACTAGACCCATACACGTTTCCAAAGTCAACTCACATATGTTCCCAGCGTTACAGTCAAGGTGCGAGGAGCTCATCCAAGTTGAAAATTAGCTTATAAACCCTTTCTTTACTGGAGCATTCTGTAATTACTACTAAACAATTTGATATCGGCTGCTAATTGTACACAAGCACACCCCAAAAGGTGCTTTTAGCCTGACACATACGTTTGAATACTATTGCGCCGTTTTGGCGGTTGAAGCTCCACACGTTATGACGTAAAACCTGAGAACTCGACGTGCCGATACAAAACCAAAGAGAGAATATGCCTGCCTTCCAAAGAACCCTAAGTGTTCTTCACCGACGTAAACTTCCGAAGATAACTACGTCACACACAGGGGCTTCAAAGTTGGGCATTAGATCTGACTAGAATAGCTACTCTTCATGAGGCAGCACAAAACCAAATGTGAGAACTTACGGAAACTGTATCTTGTGCTTGCACCAACTGGCCTGAAGAATCATTCAACAAATGGAGGTAAAAGTCTTCCGCTGGCCTCCAAGATCCGCGGATGGTCATGATTTTAATCAGATTTAATCAGATTTTAATCATATTTTAATCTGTTGTTCGACTTTTCGAGAGACATTTGTGAGAGACATTCTCATGAGGTGCAAAGAAACGGGCGAAGAAGAACCTCACTTATAGCCTGCTTATGAAAGTAAATTCATTCCCGGCAAATTCAGTAGACATGAATCGACACTATTTGCGGAGTCTACTCTCTCCTTAAGTGGAAGACAGCGGTCGAAGGACTTCTCCCGAAAGCACTCAAAAGTGCGACCACGTTGTCTTCCGCAGCCCACAACACGCTACCCATTCCTTCTTGCACATAACTCTTCGCAAATTTATCCTAACGATAGTAAGATAGATGTGCAAGAATTCTCACTAATCTGCAATCCTGCTGACCAATCCACCCGCAAAGAGCTCTCCTCCGAATCCACAAATCTACTGCATCTCGAAACGAGAAACTTAAGACTCTTACCACGCACAATGGGTTCATGGACAAACTCCTCCTGAGTCCGGACCGATGGTGGGAATGCTGCGTTTTTTCGAGCATTCTGCAACTTTCGGCCATACCTTAGTACATGGTATGGCTGACCATGACAGGATTAAAGTCCTACAGTATTCCATTAAGCCGGTTTTCATCTTCCCGACCAGACACAACCAGTCGGGGAACAAGAATCCACATGGCTGCCTGCCCGTGTTGACCCCCGCTTGGATTTCTGAAAATGTCAATACTGTATTACAAATAGAGTATTTACATTTTCCACTCCAAGAAATCCAGTATTAATACAGTTTTAACCACACCGACCAAATCATTCTTCCAAAATCTTCTAAACGGGATTGTTCGTTCGATAGATTACCGTAAGGTGAAAACAGATGAACCATTTATTCATCCGACAACGTGTGAAATGCTCCATCTCTATCGTGAAAGCTTCCCCTCCTTTTTGCTATATTCGTTAAAGCGAAAGTGTTCGACTGATCGTCCGGTGAAAGATGTGTCAACGGACATAACGTACACACGCATTTTCTCATAACCCATAACTTACTCTATAGGTTAGGCTAAACAACTTTATTTCTGCTCCACATGTATTTTGACCACTCTAGAAGTTCAATATATTACTCATTTGTACTGTATAGGCAAACATTGTCCAAATGGATTAAATAAAATAAGGTGGTTGATGATTATGATCTCAATGAGATATTCACTCCATATAACCGCAAATTTCATATATCTTAAAATTAATTTTGAGTCAAACAATCAACAAGATGCTAAGGCTTACATTGCTTTTTACAATCATACTCAACATAAGTCTTATAGAAAAAGTTTCTACTGACATATAGGAATGTATCATGCAACCCGAGGTGAAACCGGCAATCAAGATAGGCATATGATTTGTGTCAAGGTACCAAAATGGTTCTTGAAGCTTCCAAAGTATCCTAGTCAGTAGACGAGGGTTGTAAGAAAGAGATATCATGAAGGAAATTTCACCTTCAAGAAAACTATGTCAATAAGGACACTGAAATTTTTATAGAAAAGAAAACTAGCTACATATCAAAACTGGATATGAGGAACATATCTCAATATGACAGGACATACTTAAAACATATGGTGTAACAATAAACATTTCATCATGGCATAACAAAACATTGAAAATTTGAATGTTTTATTAATGTCGTATAAGTTTTTTCAAACTTAAAGGATACGAAAAGAGGTAATAAGTATATTTTTTCCAATAAAATTAAAGATGATTTCATACAGATTGTTTCAAACATGAGAGAAGAGTGATTTTTTGAAAATAAAGTGCTTTCTAATTTACTTAAGTTTATTCAATTAGAAAAATTAAAATCTGCAATAAGAATAATGCATCATTCATTCATTCATTCATTCATTCATATATATATGACAGTAAATGATATTCTATATATGAACATCAAATCTTATATTATTTTATTTTAATATTGGAGATTGTTGTAATCTAATTGAAAATCTTATGTTCATCATGCCAACTTGCTCAAGATAAATTGATTCAATTTTTCTAAAAGTATGATAATGTTAAATAGATTCATTTTTATATTAATTAATTATTATAAAAAAAATTATTGCACATGAAATACAGTATGAACAGTCATCTTAAAATTATTATGCAGCTCATCATTAAATCCAATATGTGTTAAATTTTTTTTATATACAAACTGGCATTAACAAAACATTTATGAAGATCTTGCTTCATTGAGTGTATATCAAACATTTCATAGTGTAGATGATTCAAATTGATGATCTTGATTATACTTCTCGTTTTAATTTATACTAACTTTTAATCTATACAATACATTACCTCAGAAATTTTATTTATTCTCTTGAAAAAATTTAGATGTGATAGACTAGCAAATATCATTCAAGTCATATTTCAATGAAAAATGATTTGCAGAACGATGCACGACATATATAATGAAGATGAATCTTATATAATCTTTTGCAAAAAGTTATAGATATTCAGATACTATGAATCAGATTTTACGTAATTATTTTTGATACTCAATGACATTAAAAAAAATAAATGTAATTAGGAGCTAAAAATCTACGAATAGTTCAAAAGAGTAGTACCATTTTTGTCATCTTTAGTGATATTAACATACATATGGATGTTCATAATGTACTTTTTGTTTAACTTTATACTAAAATTGTTGAGAAGAAAAATTTGAACATTTATATCAACAAAATAAGACTTCTTCATCCAATCTCTGTGTGAAGTCAAATCTGTTAGTACTATTGTGTCATGTTAAAAAAATCAACTTAAAATCTGCGATGGCGTCGCTGCAGTAAGGATCTGGGCGGATACCATTTCAAAGTATCATATCATTTTTGAAAAATTATAAAGTTACATGTTTAAAATATAATTTCACACAAAAAATAAACTGAATAATCAAAAGCAATGAAGTCAGACATTTTTTCAATTTATTTTGCATTTCTCATTTTTAACAGCAATCTACACTTGTAAAAAATTATCTATGATTTTAAAGATATGTCAAAGAAGCTCAAAATTGTAAAATTCTCTAATCTATTAGAAAAAAGATCATCTTTCATTTATTTCAGTTTTTTGAATTTCACAAATAAATTGGAGAATAAATAAAAGTTAAAAAGTTCATGATCAAAAATTAATTCATTATACTTTAAATATTCATGAAAATTGAATTTGAGGCTCTTGATATAAGTAAATTAGGCAAATGATTTTTGAAAATGAATTTCAGTGTATGTTTTAGCATATAATCCACAAATACTTAATTTTGAGAAAAAATTAAAAAAATTAAAAAATATAATGTGTAAATTTATAAATAAACATTGCAAGTAAAAACAATAAAATTAATGAAGATATTTCATTTGTGATTATCTTAGGATATCATTAAAATCAAAATTTAAAACTATGCTTCATACTAAAACATCTAGTTATGAATAAAGCATTACCCTAGAAAAACATATCAAAGAGCAGATTGATATCAGTTTAATTGTGTTGATTTCAAAATTTCAAATTGAATAAATTGCAAATTTGTTGAATTATTCTCATCAATGTAAAAAGTGAATGAATGTGATCAAATTGAGTATTTTCACAAGATTTTTTTAATCAAGGTATAATTAAAATTATAAATTGAACTGACATATTTTAAATTTCGAAGATATGAATAAAATTTAATATATAAATGTCAATATTTATTGATTAAATCAAATGACTCCATGAGTGAATACATTAACATATATTTCAAGGTGTACATTGATTTTAAAATATAACAAATAAATATTAAAAAATGAACTGAAATTATTGAGATAAAGTCTAGCATTGCTTGTAATGAGCATCAATCACATAATATTATAAAACTTGAAATAAGATATAAAAGAAACTCTATGATGATTAATAAAATATCAAATAAATCCTTGATTGTATAAAAATCCCACAATTATTTCAAAGTAATGCCCAAAAACAAAAGAAATCTTATAGAAACTTGAATGGATATGAGATTTCGCAAGGAGCTCTCCTTCATGACGCTTGACCTAAAATGGGATTCATCCTACTACTTTACGTGAAGCTTTTGGACCGAACTTACAATTCAAGGATGAAGTTGAGACAGCAGTGGTCGTGTTTTGGGGGAAAGTTGTTTAATTAATAAATCGTCTTGCTGAGTGACGTAAAGTGAAAGAGTAGCCTAATGAGACAGCGAAATTGAGAAAAATCATTGCACCACTATTATCCAAATACTCAAATGAAAGAGGAGAAGTTCAGGTCTAGAAACCATAGGATTATCTGGGCTCATTTCTAGATAGTCATCTAAAATTGACCAACAACATTTTCTGGTTATGAGATTTTCTTTTCAATCTCCCTATGTGCATGCGTCATTTAGTATCTTGGTAACATCTATTGGAACTTCCAAGGACACGTATTGGGCTTTTCTTTGAAACAAATATGTTCAACGGTGAGGTCACAATATCAAAATCCATTTAATACTCATATCCCGTTCGTAAGTAAAGATCAGATCCCAGGAATTATTACATGCATAGGAAAAACTATACACATTTATTTTAAGACAACAGATGTCATCGTTTTAGATCTGATGATGTTTATAGCCATGAAAATCCTTGAACACGACGTCCAGATTTTCTTAGCACAACTTCTTTCTATATTTCTTGACTAGAATAGACTTGTCAGATAACGAATTCGTAACATATTTTCGCTGTGTGCTAATTACAGTATCGCGGAGGGGAAAAAATACAGATTTTGGAAAAATTGGACACTCTATTTCAAAAACCTTGAAACATGCGGCCCACTAAAAGCAAAATGAAGTTGACATGAAATCAGAGAATGAATAAGTAGCAAAGGAACATAACAAGAACATGAAGCAGTGAAATTATGTTAACAGATCGATATATTAGCAATTGTACTTATAATGACCGACAAAGACTATATGGAAGCAGATTTTATTCCAAATCATGAACATTCACTTTTTCTCAAAAGTGAAAAAGTGGCCCCGGTCATCTTTATTGGCATGTAGACTTTCACCCGAACGTGCCCAACCACTAGCAGCGTCCAACTGAAATTTGTCAAATTGAATGAGAGGTGAAGAAAATTGGCGAAAGAATGAGCCTTGGTCCGAGGGGATTCGCCCACATGTAGACTAACATCACAGATACGTAATCAGACAATGTAGTGTCAATGATCGAGATATTTGATTAGATATTTGGTAAAGACAGTGCTACAAGAAGAGGAGCTACACGAAAGAGAAAATTGAAAGTATACAAACCGCAAGAGGACGAGTGCCTGTTATGCGCCACCCTCATAGCGTGATACGCTGTGGAGGGCCGAGAGGAAAAATAGCCTGAGCCTGAGCAAGCTAGGTGTCAAGGTCTCCTAACGAGGGGGTTTCCCACTGGTGGGCATATTATGGGTCTAAAGGAAGAAATTGTAGATCTCCTTAGGGTAAATTTAAGGAAGATCCAGTTAGCTTCAGAAGATTACAAAGTATCAGTTACTGTACTTATATTTTTCTACCTTTATTTCCGGAGAAACATTCCTTCCTGACAATTTTCGCTTCTTCGCCATAGTATGAATGCTTTCGTATTACTCGCCTGAACCTTCTTCCTTGCCTACAAAGTTGTCAATAGATGCAATCAGACCAGCTGCCTTCTCCACAGTTCATGTATGGAAAGACCTCAATGATTAAGGCCCGTCTAGATTCTCAAGGACGAATTCGTCCTTCAAGCCGGGCAGTGCAAATAACACCGATTTGAAGATACAACTGAGAAGACTATGTGAGAATTGTGCTGGATTGGTTGGACTAGCACGAGTGGGTGACTTGGGTGCCCTTGTCAAACTCCAACCTCGAATTGCCGGAGCACTCCTCCGCCAGCCTCGGCTCGCAATGTACGCGTTATCGAAGTGTGCGACAACGAGAGCCACCGGAGGCCATCAGAAACTTCACGGACAATTCACACGTCTGCCCCCTGGAAGCATTGCACACGTCAACCGCGCGTCCGATTCGGGTTGGCCGCGTCATCCATCGCATGATGACCATTCGATATGGATATCTGACATGGCCCCACCCTACCCCCGCAACGGAGCCTTCCTATCCTTTGGACTACGCTACTCGCTATCTGACAAGAACACCATGTCTAGCGTTACCGGTCTCCCCCGACGCCACCAAGCCGTCGATGCAAGGATATCGAACGACTGCCCGGAAGTGACTCACGACTACAGTGACGGGCAGCCGCGCGTATATTTGTGGTTTTGTCCGCAGTTCTCGATGGACCAATGGAATTTCGAAACCACTTCTCTCGGGAAGTGGCACGCGTCACCGTCGGGCTCCGGCGCTGCGACGCAGCAGACGGGCGGGTAAACGGGACAGAGCGAACCTCCGTCGTCGATGCAGGTGGAGCGAAGCGCAGTCACTGAACGGGCCCGTTCACCACGTATTCACCAGACTTTCCGTCTACTCTCGGCGCCCCACGTGTCGCCATGGCGCCAAAAAGCGGATGTTGTCGACATCCCAGGGTAACATTTGGCTCCGTAATTCTGCCATCGCAAAGCTCGCTGCGCTCGAGGTCCCACACCGAAACCCGCTCTCCATGTCTCTCATGTGCGCCATTGGTGCGCGCAAGAAAATGTAAAACAATTCGCTTGGCTCGTCGGCCAGAGTAGAAGAGCGCTCACGGGCGACGACAGACGCCTGACTGGGAATGGAACTCGACGCGCACGAGTAGATCGGGCTTTGAATAGCAGTGGAATCTGGCCGAATGATTGCCCGGGAATTGATTGGGCCTGGAGAAATGGGGAGGCGATAGTTCTGCTGATGGGGTGGAAGTCTTGGAGTAGACCACAGGTTTGATTCTGGAAGGGCAGGGCATGAATCGGGGGGTGTGTTTGTGTGGTGCCAAGAAGAGGCGGAAGGGGTTGAAGAAACAGGACGGCAATTGAATGAATGCTGGTGCCGGTCGTGCTGGTGCGTTTTTATTGGACTGCGCTCCGATCTATCTGCTGGAAATTCGGGCCTCCTTGCCGGTGTCCTCCCGAGTTTCTTGGGCAAAGAGTTTCCGCGGGCCTATCCGAATCCATCCTCTGCTCTCGTCGGAGGAGTTTGAGGTTTTCTACGTCAACAGGAGCGGTGGCAGAGCATCTGGTCGAGAACTTTCGATCTCTCTAACTTTTGGCAAAGCTGTAAAGAACTTCCTCCCTCCGCGGCTTGCCTCAGAGCCGTGTGTTTCTTCGTCAGTTGGTGCGATCCATTTGGAACCCATATGCGCCATCCTTACAATTCCTGTTCCCAGGGATTCAAGGATCTGGAATTGTTTACTCTCCGGGTGACTTGCAACGGAGTCTGTTGCTTCGCCACGCTACCGCCACGCATTGCGTTTCTTTCTGGTCAGGCTTCCGAGTGAGCGACCAATCATACACGGCAGGTGTATCAAAGTCGTTGTCAAGGGGCTCTTTGGGAATCAAGTGCAATTTACCGACAATAGTCTTGTTGTCCTTGCTCCCCTTCTCCGACAACACTTGGGGCCACATGGCCGATGATCAGCCGAGATGCTGTTGCTAAGTGCACAGAGTTTTGCAGCAGTTGTATTGTTGGACTTTCTCATTTTCCAAGCAGACGGATCGCCCTGTATCAACGATGATGCAGAGGCTTGTGGACAGCGTGTTGGGAGTGGCCAAAGAGTAGGTTCTTGATCCTCGAGGAATGTATGCGACTGATCGTGATTGTGAGACTCTTTTCATAGATTACACCGCACACGACACCCAGTATTGTGGCTATTGGATGGTGTTTGGAATCACCGTCTTATCGCCTTGTAAGGAGGTGGAACCATAGTATGAAATCTGCTAGAGAGAGTTTGTACGTTTTAGAGAACCTCTGGGCAAGCGAACCATTGCGTCATCAATTTGTTAAAGCCATGAGCACCACGGCTATTGGTCTGCAGCTCTGTATTTGGGCCAATCGTATGTCTTTCTTCGTGTTCTAAAATCCGTGGAATTATATGAATGAGATCGGGTTTACACGTTCGCAGTTTGATTCTACCGAGCCGCTGGATTGATGGGGGAACTGTTGGTTTCTGGAAGTTGACTTCTTTCGTGTAGGCTTTGTATGTCATTTTGTAATGTAGTGGAGTACCAGACGGAGTCAGCTTACAGAGTATTTCTTGTTCGTTTCAGATCATTGAAGACTTTCAGCCAAGAGTCGTTCAACAACGTTGTCAAATTGATCAATGGGTTTTCAGCGATCGTACTCGCAGTGCTGCCAGGCAAAGCCAGTGCCTTGGAAGGTGTTACGGGCTGGGAGTTACATCCAACTTTTCGCGCCCCGGGCATCCCCAGATGGATGGAAGAGTATGTAATAGTCAATTGGGATTATTAGCATTAAGTTCGAAAGAGCAGTTTGACTTGTGTAATACTTTATGAGAGTATGCAGCTAAACTTCAGAGTTCAGAAGAGTGTGCGATGAATTTCTGTATTTTCTATGACTCACGTTGTTGTGTTCATACTTGCAGGCGAGTGTCTTCATTCAACCAGTTCATCCACGATTTTGATTTTGACTCAACGGAGTCAGATGAGGAATCGGAATACGCTACAGATATGGAAGAAGACGACAGTAGCATACCATCATCCCCATCCTCCCAGACCTCTCGTGTATCACGCAGTAGCAACTTCAGTAGGTTTGGGCATGATAGAAGGGGTTCATGGATAAAACGTCTCATTCGGAAATTGACGTGGCCACTACGTTGGATACTTGGTATGACTCCCGGTCTCAGGAGGCAGTCTTCCTCAGGGAATTTCACTTCAAAGGTTCATAATGGTAATATGCCACGCAGAACCAGCAGCAGTGAAAGGCTAAAAACCATGTACTCCCTTGCCAGTAAACACTTCAATGGTGTAAAAGAGAATCTGGCGCATCGAACTACAGACAGTCGACGACGGGGTGTAATTGAGGTAATTTTATTCATCAGTTAAAGTTTTGAATTTAAATACGCCAATTTCGTCTGGTATGTTTAACAGATATCGTCGACAGGTAGTTAAATTAACAGTTTGGTATCGATGTCGATGCTTGCAGAGGCTCTTCTTAATAAATTCTGTTTGTGATTTTGGATGGCAGGATCTGCAACTTGGCGTGGAGTTGTTTATTGAGAGGGTGTTTGAGGTCATGCGACATTGTATATATTGCGTCCTTTCTCCTTTTCAAACATTCAAGTCAATTCTGAGAAAGATATTTCTCTCGAATTCTTCCAAGATCGATAAGAACTCGGAGGTAGTGAATAAAGCTACTCTTGGAGATTCAGATCCCAGTTTGAAACTTGAACAACGGAAACGTCGACACACTTTGAACACAGATGCACGGACCTGCGGAGATTTCATTACTGCCTTGGGGTAGGTACAGATAACACACATTCTCGCAACTTTTGCCTCCAGTTCCCTTTATCTACTTTCCGTTGTTTTTTTTATATAGGGGTTTTGACCATCTATCAATAAAGATATGATTATTCATATCGTGAGTTTTATGGCCAGTGACACTTCTGTGAAACAACCCTTCTACATCATCAAGTATTGATTTTCGTATTGTGCTATCAAAAGGTTGGGTAAATTTGATAAGAGTTTGTAGGGTCTGTCTTTCGTTGGTGCCGTTTTAATTATCACGTAAAAGTGACATCCAAAAGTTTTGTTATTTGTATGTTACAATATCGCTATATTAACCTATTGTGTGATGCAGTTATCCATACGAATCTCTGAAGGTGACCACTGGAGATGGATATGTTATCGCAATGGAGCGAATACCAAGGTTCAAAACATATCCCTTTTTTCGTAATTGCCTGTCTTTTATACATGAATACTACTTGTGTTGTATCTTAGGTTATTTTAATGAGACATTTTTTGTACGACTTCCTCACTGGAAACGTGTATAAGTTTTTGGGAATCTGACATATTTAGGATTTCCTTCGCAGACCGGACTCCAAGAAGGTTCTTTACTTGCAGCATGGTATTCTTGACTCATCACTGGGGTACGAGGCTATTTTTATTTCATCCTTTAAATTGTTTATGATAGTATGCAATGTTTTGCAATTAATTGGGTCTTGTTAGTATCCGTCATGAATATGATTTGGTATAACTTACACTATAGTATGATTTGTTATGTTCTGGTCAGATACTACACATCTTTATATTCTTTTTGTACCTCCAAACCTGTGGTCAGTGACGGTGGGTGTCATGATTGAATGTGCAGATGGGTTTCAAATGGAGTCGTTGGTTCACAGGCCTTTGCAGCTTATGATCAAGGTAATGAGCAACATTTCACTACCTTACAGATGCTTTGTGAGATATTTATACAATCAAGAAGTTTATTTTATGTACGGTTTTTATCTTCAACACGAATGCTCACTTGTATTTTCTGTACTTATGCAACGTATATTTTAATGAGCAAGTTTTACTCTTGCCGAGCTTTAAACTTCTACGTTTTGCTGAAAAGTGTCAATATCGTGTAGGTTATGATGTGTTTTTGGGGAACTTCCGTGGGCTTGTTTCTCGTGAGCATGTGAACAAAAATATATCTTCTCAACGGTGAGTTTGTTGACTATAGTCATCAAGATTCCTGCATTTGCTTTTTTTCAAGGATGTGGTTTTCATTCCTTCGGAACTTGGTTGTAGTCATGTTCATTCATTTCAAGCTTTATCTACCCGTCCATTATTACAAATAGTTTTTTAAAGTCGTGGAGGCTTTAAGTCAACGAGCGCTTTACAGACTTTAAACTTAATTTACTGTCTATGGCGCAGATACTGGAGGTATTCCGTGAACGAGCATGGTACACAAGATATTCCTGCCATGCTAGACAAAGTGCATGAAATAAAAATGAACGAGCTGAAGCACTTGCACTTACTGAGTGAAGAAGAAATAGCCTCCTCATCTGGTTCTGGATTAACAGAGAATCTGCCATATTCTTTATGTGGTGTGTCCCACAGTCTCGGTGGAGCTGCTATGATAATCTATCTAGTGACCAGACGATTGGAGGGGAAACCCCATTACATGAAGAGAGCTATTCTTCTGTCTCCAGCTGGTTTTCATGAAAAAGCTCCACCAATTTGCATGATTATGCAATATGTCTTCCCGTTACTAGAACCATTTCTGAGACCCATCGTTCCTGGATTGTACATACCTACTAAGTTCTTCCGTATGGTTTTCAATAAGTTGTCTAGAGATTTTCAAAATTACCCAGCGTTGGGAGGCTTGGTACAGACGCTGATGAGTTACGCTGTTGGAGGGGATACGTCGAACTGGGTTGGGGCTTTAGGGATGACCCACTACAACATGGAGGACATGCCAGGGATAGCTTACGGGGTGGCGCTACATCTAGCTCAAATGATGCGTAGCAAACACTTCAATCTTTTTGATTTTGGGGAGGCAGGCAACTTGAAAGCGTATGGGAGCAAGAAGCCTTTAGACATTGGAGCGAACTACGATCAGATTGACATCCCGATTGATGTAGTCGCGGGGAGAAAGGACAAATTGATTCCTAAGTCTATGATTCTGAAACACTATCAAACGCTGAAAAGTGCAGGTTGCAAAGCTTCTTACTCTGAGTTCGATTATGCACATTTGGATTTTACATTCTCCCATAGGGAGGAGGTTCTGGCCTATGTTATGTCCCGCTTATTATTAGTCCAGCCTCGAGCTAGTAGGAGGCGGTTGCGGAGGCTAGATACACGACGTTCCAAGTCAGTCAAGGATTCATCGTGGAGATCAGAGATGAAAAGTATAGATGATGAATCACATAGCCGTTCCAAGTCAATGAACGATCGAAGACATCGAAGTTTCAAGAGTGTGGAACAATCACGAGAAAGAGATGACTGAAAAGCGACGCCATTGGAGGAAAGTGCTCAAGGTAACGTCACGACTTGTCACCTTTTAACAAGGAACACTTAGAATTTTATAGAAGTTTCCCTCATTGCATTCCCTCGTTGAGATATGTTATTAACGTGAACTTGAAGCCACTCGTACTCAAGTCTTTGGATACGGGGATGTCCTTGTGTGCACAAATTCTAGCAGGTCATGGATATTCTAAAGGTAGAAACTTTTGCTGCTTGTAACAGATTTCAGACTACGCCGCGGTAACGTGGGCAGCACTTTGTACGGTTTGAGAAGAATAGCTACGTGATTTACGCGTAGAGACCAGGTGAAGGATGTTTGCACTCGACGTCAGGGTAGCACTCACTGTAAACTACATTGTCTCACCAATTATTACTTTTTGATCCTTACGTCAGATGGCTTTACTTAATTCCATCTAGCTGAGTGAAGTTAGTTCACTAATATCTTTGTATATAGTTTGCTACCTAAAGGAAGAGAGTCTGAAGAGCTGGGTTATAAAATTGGTGTGGACAGCGGAATGGGATTGAGGTACATGGAGAAGGGAGAGACTGTACCGATTGTTTTCAAAATTTAGGACCCTCTGACAAATTTCTAGCTGTAGGTATCGAATATGTGAGTTATCTTAAGCTTCCAAGCTTCGTCGTTGTACAATCATTAGTTTTGTGCGACAATCTTCTTCTGGCAGGACATTATAACTGAAAGTGGAGTAGTCTTCAGTCTGGGGTTTGCCCAATTTTTTTCTCCGGATTTGCACCTTGGTTGAAGTAGAAACCAGAAATGCCATGGCTCGAATAGGAGCGAAGTGCACAGGGGCGGATGATGGAGGATGATTAGTTGTTAGACGTGAAACTTAGATGGTCTATGAACAAATAGTGATTCGAAAATTTCAAACCGAGATAGTTATTCATAGTCGGGGAGAGGTTTGATCATTCCATTTCAAACACAAGCTTTGAAAGGTTTCCACTTTTCGAACTTCTAAACCATAAATTTTGATTCTTCAAGTTCATCAAAGAGCTTTAAGCAATATTTCAAACTCATGTGTTTGAAGATCTTTTTTGGGGAGTTTCTTTTAGGTCTAAGGTTGAACAAATTTACGAATTATAACTGAATTGCGTGCACTGATTAGTATTAAGCATATCGCCAACGACGTGCGCTGATTACGGTCATGATGGACTTCATCATTGTCATGACTATCTTTCGACGACTTCAAATCATCTGAGCACGTCCAGTGTGGATTATATGTGAGAAAAAACAAAATCAGTTTATTCTCACTTTTTTTCGTGATGACTATTTGCCCTTCAATATTCCACAGAGGCACAGGAAATTGTGTATAAAACGTATCTTCAAGATTTACCTTATTTTGATCGTCCAAGTTATGTTTCTATAATGGCCCAAGAAATATGCTCTGTAAATCTGTGAAGACATGACACCCTGCATATTAGAATCAGAGCTTTGCAAGCTACCGTCATAAATATAGAAACATATCGGGGACCTTTCTATTGGTAGTTTTGCCTCAATACACAAACATCTCATGCAAATTCCATCTGTGAAAGTAGCCATGTATCCACCAGCACTGTTGATAAAGGCGAGTCCACGGGCACTAGAGAATAAATAGATCGTTTGGTGTATAAAGATATATAAAATTCTATGATAACACAAATCCGCAGACCAAAACAAGACCACTTACAAAGAGTGAAAAAAAATTACACTTCGAAATTCTTCCATCCAGCCCACAAGTATATTTACAATGAGAGCTCAGCTTTTCACCACTACGCTTGAAACATGCGCAGTGCACAGTGAAATGACAGCTAAGTAATCTACTGCCTGCATCTTTCGACAGGATAACTCAAAAAATGGACGGGCGAAGATAGAACCCCGTGAAAACTTCATCTAATCCTCTTTATCTCCCTGCTTATTCTTACCAGATAACATATTCTCATATGTCAACTGGACGATGAGAGCAAGTAAAATAAAGATATAAACTGCCAGTTTTGGCAGTTGGACGTTGGCAGAAGAGCCCGCTTCGATTATGGACAAGGTGAGAAGAAAGATAAGAACTCCATACAGAATGCGCCTAGATTTCGATCCAGCCGATTTCCTGATTGTATCAGTCACAACTTCTGCCTTCTCCTTAATTTGCTGTTGCTCTTCAGGTGATTTTGTTTTTACAGTCTTGTACAATTCTTTGAAGAAGAGTCCTTCACTTCGCGCTTGCTCCACATTCTTCTCGAACGCTTCTAGATCTGCTTCATCGGCTTCTATCTGCGCGCGCGCTGCTGCAAGCTCCTCTTCGAATGCTGACGCTTTAATGTCCATTTCTTCCAGAACCTGACATGCCAATTCAATGGGCCCTCTTAGAAAAGACCAACTTGCAGCAGTTTTGTCATCACTTTCATAGAGCACCTCTCTTCTATGTCACTCGTCCGTGTCGACTTTTGACAGCAGTTCCTGGACAATTTTCATCTAAAAGGTCGAGGAGGGCCGACCTGGCTCCGCTCTCCTGACTTCAGGGTTCATTTCGGAGATGGTCAATGCACGAAAGAAAATTAGACGTGGTGAGGTTGGAGATATTCAGAGTCTAGTTGCGATGAGAACATCACTGACCAATTGATGGACTCGTCTGGCTAACAGTGGTGGCACTACTAGCTTCCTCTATGCTTCAGTACAAACGCGAAAGTGGACTACTTGAAGACTTCAATCCGTGTGTGAATATTCTATTGAGGCACAACATTTTTTTAGAAGAATGAGCTCTTTCTCCTCCCCGTCTCATGAACATTCTCTTGCTCTCTAAGGATAAACTTGCAACCCCATATCCGTGCTCGATTTGATGCATACTCGCTAAATTCAATTTCCCTGATTGAGCTTAGCTTCAAATTCCGAACTCTGAATCTTCAAGCAATCTCCTATGAGCTGTACGTGCTCTCAATTCCGAACAAAAGTACGAAAATCCTGCTGCGTACATTTCACAAACTAGGTTGTACACGCTGACGAACTATCCTAGTTTGTAAGTGGCTTCAGGTCACTTACTCACAGAAGTTGGAAGAAGGAAAAAGTAGCGGAATTGTACGAGATGCTTTGTGAAGAGGAAGATTGTGAACAACACATTTTCTGCAGATTTCCGCGAAGAAGTAATCAAAGCAAATGCACGAGAAACTATTTCCGTAACATGGATGAGTGACGATGGGATCAAAACATCGAACCAATTCACGAACACAAGCCGGAATGTCTTCGAAGCAAGAAGAAGACCAACAGAGAAGGGAAGAGGGTTGTGCTTCAGAGCAACGAGGATTGCAAGAATCACGAAGATACGCCGTATTGTCACCATACCTTAGAGCCAGCTGCGTCCATACTTCGCCTTGCTTCTTCGGCGATCCTGGCGTATTCCTCATTGGCTGTTTCCGCAATGTCCGCCAAGTGCTTCGCTTGTTCCTCGACGAATTCATTCACTCGAACTTTTCCAGTCTCGAGCCTCACTATCTCGACCAGCATTTCCTGAACTTCCTTATCTCCACTTTTCTCAACCCCATCTCCACCAGAACTACTCTGAGCTCTCACTCTGAACGGTTTGGAGCCCAACCCGATTCCGACAGGCACAAATCTACGAGAAAGATGAGGAGTGTACAGAAATTTCGAAGACGTGATGGTCCGGAAGACCATAGCTCTCGCAATTGGACCATAAGTGGCAGTTGGGAAACATTCAACACCACACCTCGCGGACCATCCTGAAATTTGACGAGCAGCACAGAGATCTGGAAGGACACCGCACTGCATTTTGTCCAACGAAGTAGCGGTGATGTCAATTCCTGTCGGATATGGGGCTCCAATTTCTCCGCAAGAGCCAGGAACAGCTCCAATCAGTCACTACTTGTACGTCCTCAGAGAATGGTGGGCTGCCATATCCAGTCCTTCCAAAACCTCGGCTACATAATGTTACCGATGTCGACGACCATGACAGAAGGCAACCAGGGATTCTCCCATATCCAGTCCGAGCAAAGTTCGCGCTGGAGTGGACTGATCTCGCTGTCCTTCCTTCTCGCCAAGAAGTTACAGCTCGTCCTCGTCCTCGGCCTCGGCCTGCAACATTCAAATATCTTCCAGTGGCCGCGAGCAGCGGCTCGGCTGCTCCGAGAGTGGACGCAGCAACGCCGTGCGAAGATAGATGCTCTCGGATGTATGAGGGGCCTGTGGAATCCGAGCAAAGCCTGCCCCGCCGACATAAAGTTCCGGCACTCGACAGCCCCCGAGCCCCTCCCTCCCTCCCTCCCTGCCCGAGTCCCAAGCCGCCTTATCCACTTCCGCTCGCCGTAACTCTCGTTCTCCGAGGACGGCCTCTCCTCTCGCTCTCCTCCTTGTCTTGTCTCGTTGCGCAGTTTTCGGGCCCCCTCTGATTTAATTCATGGCCTGACCGTTAATTTGGAAACCTAATAAAGAAATATTAATTTGTATTGAGATTTCGTTCCGAGGACGAGAAGATGGCCGAAGATTTAGAGCTCGATACGACACCACCACCAGTCTCGATGCCGGACGGTACTTACGGACCTCAGTCGTGTACCACTTCCGCCGCCACTTTTTGGCACCATGGCCATGGTGGACTCGCACATCTCTCTCAGCTCGACATCATCATCTGCAGCTAATCAATCACTCCGTTGCGAGGTCCATACTCCATGCCCACACTTCTGGGACTTCGCGGTGCTCAGCAGAGAGTAGTAATAATGTCTTCGCCCCGGCGATGGGTTTCCGTGATTAGAGACAAATGTCGCACCCTCGAGAGCTCGATCTGCAGATACGACCCAGCAGCACCAGCAGCGAGCTGACGAGAGAACCGTCTGTCCCTCCATTGTCGTGCACCAGTCTGCAGGAGAATAGGAGAGCAGAGTTGAATGTTGTCACGTAGTGGAACCGCAGAGCAGATGGCAGGGGAGATGACGCAGAGGGAATTATGAAGAGCTCAGCGTAAGCAGCCGACCATTAATGCGGCAGAGCGCTAATTAGCTTTGCAAGAGGGAGAGCCATAATGAACGAGGCGGTTTGTCTAGAACTGCGCACTCGTTCCCCTTAATGCCCGAGGCCTGAAGATTCTATCCCCCGGATTCCTTCCAAAGCAGGCATTGGAATCTCGGACTTCCCTTATATAGCGACCCGTCCGCAGGACTTTCCTCAAATAGCAAGGGCCGAGGCTGCACGGGCACAGTGTTCCGATGTCAGCCGGAGGCAGGGGAACTTGGTGCTGGGCTGGGCTGGGTTGAGCTGAAGGCTCCTCAACGGGCCGGCGAGTGGGCGAGCGGGCCGGTTGCCAGAGGGCACGCTCTGAGTCAACGGCTTGTGCTTGACGCTTGGCTCCGCGCACTTGGGCATTGAAGACGTTGGACGCTTGTCTCGGCCTGGGGAGCCGCTGCTGTGCAGGCACAGCAGGAGCTCTGTTCTGCTCTCGCTTCTTGCTCGCCTTTCTTGTCGACAGATTTTTTGAACAGTTGGTTGGTTGGGAGGTTGGTTGTTCGGTCGGTTCGATCGAGGAAGAGTGGACGTGCGACGCTTTTGATTCTTGCATTGTGAATCTGTGCTCTGCCAAGCGCAAGTTGGGCTCTCTCTCCGCCTGACGAATGGTGGTGCAGTTTATGCGGTCGAGGCGGTGGTGTAATTGTTGGTCGTGGACAGTTCAGTTCGGTCCTTCTTCATGAGGCTGCACTTCTGGGATCGTAGTGATTTCTGTGAGAGCAGAGTTTTCTTTATTACTTTCGGGGGCACGTCGGTGCAAGGTTGATGCGAGGCGGGAGTCGTTGTTTTGCTTGATTGTTTCCAGTGGCGAAGAATGAGGTGCATCATTCCCAATCGGCGCCTTGGCCTTGTGTGAATCATATGCACTCATGCGCCACCTTCCTCCGTGTCCGTGGGTCTCTCTCCCAGGTACTCACAGTTTCAGCTCCTGCAGTTTTGGAATTTGAAACCTGTGCTGTCTTCTCGTGCAAAGCGAACTTCTGGGAGAGCCAAATTGAATTAATATTCTGAATGCTACATTTCCAGCTTCCGTGCAGTATGTGACCGCTGCGGATCTTTAGAGAACGGCTTTTTTGTATCTGTACTCGGGCACACTGAAGATTTTCGTTTTCGCAAGGTGACTTTGAAGAGGCTTGAATGGTTGTGAGAGCTGGGGAATTGCTTATGTATTGTGAAGTTTGGATTTGTTCTTGACAGGGCATAGAGGTTTCAAGGGACGAGCAGGACACACAGCCACTTTGGTCAACAGTAAAGTTTACGTCCTTGGAGGGCGCAATGGCAACGAGTTTTACAACGATTTCTGGCAGTATGACATTGAATTATCGAAATGGACTTTGCTACATAAACATACGCCTTTCGAACCAAGGGCTTACCACACCGCCACATTGATGAGTGGTAATCAGATATGGGTGATCGGAGGGAGTGATCACTCGATTATGTACGGAGATGTTCACGTCTTTAACACCGAAACCTTGGAGGTAATTGGCTTTCATCCTGTCCTGCTTCTGTATCTATGATTTCAACACGCATCGAGAGTGAACATTTTTTCGAGATGGCTCTGAACTTTGCATTCTGGTGACAGTGGTCTAGTCCGGAGACGAGAGGTCACCTCGCAGGCAAGCTGAGAGGAACTCATGCTGCACTCCCGCATCCTGTGCACCCTAAAGCTATTCTGGTTTATGGCGGATACGGTGGTGATCAGTGGCTCGGCGACATGTCCATTCTCCGAACTGGTTGGTATGCAAAACCTGGACTGATTTTTTTTCTGGACGTGCGAGGGACACCGTGTTCCCATCCGCTAACCGTCACTGCATCATATTTTCGAGGGAGAAGCAGTACTTTGTTTGTGCTCGCTAAATATGCGGTAGTTGTCTTGTACAGACAGTTTGGTGTGGGAGGAGTTGAAATGTAAAGATGGACTCGCTCCAAGTGGTAGAGGCTATCACACTTTCACTGCGTTTGGAGACCATATTGTTCTCTTTGGCGGAAAAGGAGAAGGTGGCATAGTTTCTTCTGATGAAATTAGGTGCACGACGACACCAATCCCATTTGTATCTCAGTTGTATTTCCAGGATATGCAGTTTTACTGAGAGTCACTCAGTGCATATTTGCTTTCTCGTGTAGCAGCACGAGAAAGAGAGAAAGGTGGCGAGGAATATTGTAGCAGGAATTGTAGATTTTCGGTAGTACTGTCTTTCGCGGGCAAATTATCCTTGGGTCTGATCAGTTAGAATCTGCCAGTGTCTATGATGCCGCAGTGAATGTTTGGACGACTCCGAGGGTGAAAGGAGTTCCTCCTCTTCCACGTTCCAATCATGCAGCTGCTCTGGTTGACGATAATGCAATTGTAATCCATGGAGGACGCAATGGTGGTCAACGGTTGGATGACATATGTCTTCTCAAGGTCTTTGAAAAACTTCGACCCCAGGGCTGTCACTTTTCGATAGCCGCAAATTTCCTGACAGTGCTTCATGCCAATCCGAAGGTTTCAAAGTAGGAAATGTTTATGCTTCCAGCTTAGATGAAGTTTTACATTTGCTTCGCACCAAGATCTGTTGGTCTCAGTATCTATTTTCGAAATATCTGCCCGACGTCTTCGTGTGTCGATTTTTTTTGAACTGCTTATAACCAATTCAATTGTCTCAATTTCTATTTACAGATTCTTTGTCCTCCACAGCCTGGCTGCGTCGATTCTTTCGAATGGGAAGTTATTGGACAAGATAAAGAGAAAGTTCCAAAGAAGAGTAAAGCCACTAAAGCTCTTGGGCCCGGTGGTCGTTCTGCGCATACTATAGTCGCAAAGGACGAATCATTGTATTTGATAGGCGGCTATGGCGGCGGGGGTATGATTCGCTGTTGCAACTTCATAGCAAATTGCATTTATTATTGCATTTACTGGTTGTTTGTCCTTGTCCTTGTCATATGGGTCTTGAATACGTAGAAGAGTATAGCTTACACTTGTCATCAGCAATCAAATACTCAATCTTTTTACATTTTCGTAAACCTGCTCTTCATTTCTGTCATTAAAAGTGTGTATGATGCCAGTTGTGCTTTTGCATTCAAGTGTTATTTGGTTTAAGATGTCTACGAAAGAAAAGATTATCGCTTTGCGATGCTCATTGTCTTGCGAGGCGTTTTGTTCTTTTCACTTCAAGACATGGTGTTATCACCATATTAAAGCTGATGTAACTTATTATTTTAATGGTGTGTCCATGACAACAGGTTTAACATTCTCTGATATATATGTCAACCACCAATTCATACAACAAGCAGGTCTGGAAGAGCACTCTTCCAATGTAGTCACCGTTCTATGTTCACTATCTTAAGTGACAAATAAGCTTGAAGCCTTTGTGCAACGCAGACCTTAGTTTCAAGTTTTGTATTCTGATGTTTTCACACAGCTTTACTAACCACTCCGTTCGTTTTCAACTTACATTTAGAGCACCAGTCCGTTACTTCTGAGTGAATCAACTTATATGAGGAGATGAAGCTTTCTAATTCGCCTCATCCGATTAAATTTCTCCTTCAGGATCTCGTCCAAGGGTTAATAAGAAAGCAGCACGACGGTCTCTGGACAGTGTTCCTGATTCTCCAGAAGATGAAGGTTGGCGAAGGACCAAACAACCTCGCAGAGCGTCTCATCCCATCGCAAATGGTGCTCATAGTGTCCCCATTCACATCTTGGAGTCGGATGGTAAGTAATTCATGCCCTCCATATTTTAGTTCGTTTGTCTTATGTTTTTGTTTTGCCTATTAGCTGACTCCCTATTCCTGATATCATGACTCATTGACACTCCCAGGTCGCGAGTATCTCCTGAAACTTGTTCTGCTAAGTCTCTGATCGTCTAAGAATTATAATATGTAGACCTTCTGCCTGTTGTCAAGGTTGGAAGTCTTAGTCAAATGGCTGCTATGGTTGGTCTCGGCTGGTGAATACAAGTTCGTTCACATTCATGTTAACACACGTTTATTTTGTTCGATGTAGATATATCGACTCCAGATACTTCCTGTGATCGTCCGGGTGTTACTGGAGTTGCGTTGGAAGATTATCACAGGCAAAAACGAACGGTCAATGTTGCTCGACCTCATGTTCAAAGCAACGTGGGTGCAGATCAAATGGCAAGGGCAGAGGCATTGGGAAATTTACAAGGAAGGACAGAGGCAATTACAGCTCATGAGAACGAATTACATCGAAAGGAATTGGCAAGTATGCAGCAGGTTGTGGACTCTCTCAGGGCGGAACTTCATGGGAAGGTTTGAGTCTTGAATACACGTGTTGTTACCTGATTGTGAAAAAAGATTCGAAACATCTGTAGTAGTCTTAGTCTGAGTTTTTTTCTTTCGACTGAACTTCATGTAATGGTCAGAAGTTATGGATGTTCAGGGAAGGCGATCATGTAAAGATATTGAGGATCACCATTGCAAATTCATGAATCTGACTTAATACTGGAGCAAAGTTGGATTTTTAACAGTGTGTGCTCTTCTAAAACAGAATCTTTTGGAATCTGAATTACGATCCGGTAAAGCGGCTCTTGAGCAGAATATTCTATTGCTTCGAAAGCAGGTAGGTTCCTAGTATTGCCTACTATTTGCTTTGCATATTCTTTGAATAAGAAACGGCGGATTTTTATGTTATTTTGTTAGAAGCTGGAATAAGATCGATCTTAATTCTTTTCACAACACACACTCTTGCAACATAGTCGTAGTTTACGCATTCGCTGTTCGTAATTGAAGCGCAAACCATGTCTTTTATCTGTCATGACTCAAAGTTGAAATATGGAAAGAATAACCTCGAGTGAAGCCTCTCATTTCTTTTTTTGTTTCAGATAGAAGAAGGGAACCGTACAATTATGGAACAGCAAAGTAAAATGGAGAAGTTGAAATCTGATGCGCAGGTTTGTCACTTCAAAAGCTTGAAAGATATTGTTATAATTCTCATCGTCCGCAGTATGGCTCTAGTAGAAGTAATCGGACAGGTTATTGGGACTTTAATATATACTTAAACTGTGGGCTCGATCTGGCATAGGTCTTGATTTTCATTTTTCATTTCAAGGATCAAAAGCATATCATTTTTCAACTCTACTTATCATTGGACCTTTATAATTACAGGATTTGGTCTTCCAGTTGGATGATAAAAAAAAAGAGGTTTTTGAAGTAACGCACAAGTTGAAAATTTCAGAACTGAAGGTTGACGACCTATCGAGGTAATCATGTTTTTCTGAATGGAATCACATCGATTCCTTTTATGTTCCGTACGCGGAGTTAATAGATCAAACTGTACTACTCTGTGCGTGGAGCTTTGTCTTCCTCAACGAGGTTTCTTTGTTTATCCTGATTGGGTTTAACATAATTAGTGGATAAGTGACATAAATGTTCTTTTCTCTAACTGATGGTTTTTGCAGGTCCCTGCAACAGATGACCAATTCATGTTCAACAACCACTCAAGAACTCAACATATGCCAACAAAGAGTATGACCATTTCTAGTACTTTATTTCATACTAAATGTGTTATGTCTAGGTCGTGTACTTGGAATACGTTCACATGTCTTTTCCTTGCCATAGCTAACGAAAGGAGAAATTATGATCAATATATACATATGAGCCTGCGAAATCGATTTTCTTTTAAAAGCTTACTACCTTCGCTCTTCCAGATATAATATCTTTAGGTGTCTGTTTTTTTTAGCTCTTCATTAACAAATGATTTAATTGGATTTGAAAATTCTGTATAGGTGGAACAATTACAGATTGATGTTGAGAGAAAAATTCAGGAAGTGCAACAGCTGAATAAGTCTCACGAATCTGAGAAGGTCGCTTTGAAAAAGGCAAGACCTATCCTCTTTTTATATAGAATCCATATTATTGTCCATGTGCTTCAACGAAGTTTTATGGATTTGAAACTTGGATTCTAAGATTCTACGTTACCATCTCAGACTTCATGCTCATCAAAATATATTTATCGTTTGCAGGAAATTGCGGAGAGGCGCAGTGTAGTTGAAAGACTAACAAACGAGCTCGAAGTTGCACAGGTCTCTCACCTGATCATGTTCGTGCAGTTGTCATGAATGGTATCTTGAAATTTCTTCATGAGCGCTTGTTGTAGTCTCTGGGTTTGAAAGAAATTGAGGGAGTGTAATGTAATAACAAAACAAGTCATCAAGAGGTGAAGACTTAGGAAAACTCTTATCAAGGGGAATATTAACAGATTGATGCGTGCCCTGTGATTTTTCTCAAAATTATGCAGACTTCGTCGCGAGCTCTCCAGGACACTGTGGATAGATTGGTGAAGCGAGCCGAACGTGTAAGAAACTAACCTTGTTTTCTCATCTTAGTCTATCTTCTGGTATTGAATCTTGTTCACAGTATTTTCCTTTATAAAGTGTTTCAGTATCTGATCCAGCTGAAAGTTTCCGTATGCAGGATTCATCTAAGATCGATGACCTTCAAAAAGAACAAGGAGAACTGAAGAATGACATTACGGTGCTCACTTCAGAGCGAGATCAGGTATATCAAAATATTCCATCATTTGATGCGCAGAGTTGAATTATTTTGCTCTATGTCTGTGGTGTTCCATTGAATTGCATGCTGGCTAGGAGTCATCTCAACATTTATCGATTTAACTGCAGTTGATAGCAAAAAAGGATGGAGCAGAAGCAAGTGCAGAACTTGTCAGGGAAGAATTGCGGGTTGCACGCAATTTGGTTGAACGAGTAAGTGATTTTGACTATTCTATCTACATCTTCTGGTGTTTCCTTGAGGTCATTATGCTGGTTTGTAAGTATTGCGTTTTTCTAAGCGTTCATATTTTCCAAGTCGAATTTCTTCCACAAGTCTGTCACACAAAAGTTGGATATGTTAAATATGATGCAGAACGTAGTCGAGATTGATCGGTTGAAGGATAATGCAGACCAAGCAAAGGAGCACATCGGATGTCTTCATGTCTCCGTGAAGAAGGTACTGGTTTGAATAGCCAATTGTTCTTACTCTTGTATTCTACCAACCTTGCGTCGCAGATGCTGATACGCACTTCTCGTCTATGCTCAGAACGAAGAAGAGCTGAAGGCACTGGCGGAAGAAAACTCCAAGCTAAGGTGAGTCTCTACGCATATGTTCACACATACATATATCATTTTTTCTGATTCAAGTATTTTGGGGTTTAACTTTAAACTATGGTACAAAATGCAGGTCGCTTTTGAAAGAAATTGAAGACTTTGAGACTAATCAGGCTCGCAATCTCCAAAAGCATGCTGAGAAACTTCGATGTGCCAGACAGTTTGGACCTTCTTAACATATAATTCTTTTCATCAACCTTGTTACAATATATATTGTAATTTATATAACCTAGACATCATTGGCATAGCATAAGAAGTTCCCTCTGCTCAAAGAGATTGTTTGTGCAGTTGGCCACTTCATGGTTCAAAGGTCTCGCTCTTGTGCAGAGCCGAGATCTGGGAACCAACTTGTGAATATTTCTCTGTAGCGTTCGGACCAAGACCTTTATTTGAGGTTCTTAAATTTTTTGAACGAGAATCTCAAAAATTTCAGAGATCATTAAAGTTGTCAAGATAGTTTTGGTGGTAGTTTAAATTGATATGCTATTTCAAAAAGAAACCCAGACTATCAACAATGCCTTATCTGGAGAATAAATAGCCACTTTTTTGGTTACGAATCGGTTACTCGCTACAATTTATTTTCGATTCTGACGAGAAGATGATGAAATATTGAAATGGTTTATGTTTTAAGATCCACGTCGATGGAATGGAATTGTTTGTATCTGAAGGAATACACACTCTAGTATGTAATAAACTGAAGCTGTAGCGCTTTCGTACTCGATGAGTAAGTTTAGCTAGGGAAACCTGTGTCTAACATTTAAAGAGATCGGTGCCTTGTACGCATGATTTGAACTTACAGGTCTGGCAAGCTCTGTCCTTTGTCCTTTCTTACTCCTTTCTTACTGTCTCGTTAGTGCAAATGTGGAGACTAGGAGCACAAAAAAAATAGTGGAGCGGCCAGCAGAATCCAAATTGACGTTGACGGTGCAACTTTTGTGACCATTTTTATAACATGTTTGCTAAAAGACATTGATGCTCTGGAACATCTAATCACATACTAAATTGGAGTGAGTAAGTGCAGCACAAACGTTAGTTTCTAATAGGTCTCGTGAATACCCGAAAGCATCGATGCATCTTAGATGTTCTTTCTCTCAAGAACAAGAGGACCTCGAAGTGCACGATCTGTGGTTGACACATTAGAAAAGCTAAGTTAGCAATGGTGATCGCAGTCAAGGATTAAGAGAAAAGGAAAGTGGGCACCGAGTAAATATCATAAAAGATAGAAAGAACCTTCAAGCTATTTAATAATGAAACCATGTGGTTAACATGGTGTTATCTTCACTAACTTGAAAATTTGAAACATTGCATACATAAATAGATAATTAATGTAGTTAACATGAACATTCAAAAATCAACATCGTGTGTGATGGTTTTTATTTATTGTAAATGTTTTACAACCATGATATTACTTTTTTTGCTCTCTAATTCGATGTACATAGACCCCAAACCTTCGCATATGATACCAGTTGAGATAGTTATATATGCGTCAGTTTTATTCAAAAGACATATGATAGTTATCTAGAATGTTATTAGAGTTGAGTGTTCACATGACTTTTTCAAGATGCAAGGTATAACTACCAAAAAAAGAATTTTTTTTAATGTCGATTGCATATTGTATTATTCATCACATTGCTAAATGTAAAGTACTCAGAGTCTCTTGATGTGATGGTCAATAATATTTTGGAGAGATAGGTGATATGCATTGCAGTCATTAAAGTTGAAGCAAACATTTATATTTGATTAGAGGTATCAAGGTTCTGATGCATAACTAGTAAATAGTTACCAAGAGTTAATTTGGATAGGGTGCTTATACATGTGCATAGTTGGGCGGAGAATAATACCGAACAAAGTATCCAAATATAAAGACTTGTAAAGATAACAGTTTTTTTTATATATATGTAGAAGTTTTCTAAATTTGTGGATGCGAAATTCGAAATATTTGAGTGAATGAATGCCTAGCAGTCTATCATACTATCCAGTAAGATTATGAAATTATTCAGTTTTAATTACTGATTCTGTGACATACATGATATGTTTAGCTAGTTCATACAAAACCCAGGTTATGTCATACACAAAAGATTAATCGCGCAAGTGGTGAAAATTCAGATGTTACAATTGTCTATAGACCGTGTGAGATTAAAAGAATTCTCATCTTAAAGGTCATGTGTTCTATTTCTTATCATGATATCATCGACACTAGCAATGCTTACTTTCAACATTGAACATATTGATGAAATATTACCATCCGTTAAAAATTTAATTAGGTTTTTTTCTTTTGAGTACATTTTTTTATATGAAGAGTCAGTGCTCTGTAGAGGAATGGATTCAATTCGACGAACATAGATTCAATGAAAACAAGCAATGAACTTCCACGAGCAATGCAGGATGGTTGTCTATGGCATATTGCGGTGAAGAAAAAATCAAGCATCGAGCGGAAGGGTTAGTAATGCGAAAATGACATCGACTAGACACAAACCGGCGTCATGCCTTCCAACTCACATTCAGAAAAGCCTTGCAAAGTGTGAAACTGCTCTTCATGCCATAAACTGCAAGATCTCACTCCAACGGAAAGAATTTATATATTGCAATGCGGCGAGAAGTCGGACGAGGGACGAGGACGAGAAGCGAGTGACGAGACAACAGGTCGGCAACGAAACCCCAGGACCTCACGACAAATGTCGCTGCTCCGCCTCGCTCACGCCGGGCCCTGAGCTTGCCGACGAACGAGCTTATATCGGTGTCGGGGCGCGCAGAGTTTTCCTCGGCTGACGAGAAGTGGCAGATCGATTGTGGGGCGCGTAGAAAGATCGTCGTCATGAAGGTTGCTGGCATGGGCGTGCCGAGCCGGAGAGTGTTGCTGGGCGTGGGCCTCGTCGGTGTGTTCTGCCTCGGGTTGTGGACGCAGATCCATGCCGTTACTGCCGCAGCGACCGAGAGCCCGTCCTTGGCTTTCGTGAAGAAAACCATCGCTGCGCACCCCATTGTGATTTTCTCCAAGTCCTACTGCCCGTGAGTCTCTCTCCCTCTCTCACTCGATGGTTTCCGTTGATCCGACTTGTTTGTTTGTTCTCGTCGGTTGGATGCTCACCGGGACTATCTTTGAGTGTTTGATGTTTATCAAACTGGCAAGATCTCAAATTTGTTTGGTTGTTAAAATATGGGTGATTACAACAGTCTTGAAGTGGCCGCTGCTGTCTCTGTAGTTTACAGTTGAGGACTGATCTTGGATTGAGTTAACTGCTAGTGAGAATTCGCATAACACTGTCTTCGAAGCTCATCTTTCAAGATTTGTTCAGCTTTGAATACTGTCCTAAGAATCATGGCTAGTAGTAGCTAAACCCATATAGGATTGTGTCAGAACTTGGATCTTTTTGTCGTCGAGTTTGATGGATCCAGTAGGCCTGATCCGTAGTTCGATCGCCATGTCTTAAATTTAAATCAATTTTTCTCCCGTTAAACAAACTTTGCAGCTTTGCGCATCATCATAAGAAGGGTGAAGCTATTCGTGGCATTAACCATGGCTTACTTTGCACATTTTTTAGAGTAATTGAGGTCGCTGTAATCCAAAATTCTTTAAGATTTCCGTACTTGTGTGTCAGTGATTTGAAGAATGACTTATATTTCTCGAATAGGGTTCTCAACTTTTTTTTTCATTATTTGTCATGGGAGCCTGAAATCCAGCAATTGAGTAGTTTACAGCTTCACTACCAGCGTTGTTGTCATTTATGATGTCTTAGCAAGTTTTTGTTCCGTTGTTTGAGTTGAAAGTTTGTCAATACTTAAAAGGAGGATTGTTCCCTTCCCCTTCCTCAAAGTCCACATTTCCACGTCCTCTTGATGAGACCCTTGCTCTCCAGCTGCTTGGTTAATAATCTGAACAGTTCGGATGCTCTTGGGAAACTATTATGATGGATTATCGCCCTGATTCTAACTTCACAAAGATGGTTTTATTGTCCTGAAGCTACTGCAAACGGGCCAAGTCTGTGTTCAAGCAGATGGATACGACACCCTACGTTGTGGAACTTGACTTGCGAGGTGAAATCCTGGAACTATGCTTTACGTTTAGTGCTTCCTCATTGTCGGCATTGTGAAGAGCTGTCGAAGTTAGTTTGTGCAATTCGTATGTCGGCGAGCATAGTGTCAGTCGGTGGAGTTTCACTCTTCCTTACTGACAGAAGATTTTGTTGTGTCTCATTGCAGAGGACGGTGGGAGGATTCAAGCCGCTCTTTCAGAGCTGGTGGGAAGACGCACTGTTCCGCAAGTTTTCGTCGATGGAAATCACATTGGAGGCTCTGATGGTATGAATTCTCAAAGTTAGGAGGGTTTTGGTAAAGACTTAGAATGCTAAGAATGGTATGCTGGAAGAAATGGCTTCGAGGTTCATGTTATTTTCTTGTAAGTAACTAGTCTGACGATCACTGCTCGCGTTGGTTTGCAGATACCCTCGAGGCATTCAACAACGGGAAGCTGAAGAAGCTGTTGAATACTAAGCAGTCTGGTGAACTTTGATAATGCCTTTCGTCATGTAACCCAAGCTTTAGTCCATTTTATACAGTCTGAGACAGACAACAAACGGGAAACTTGACCGGCTTTCTTTTTTTGCAGGCTATTGGAAGCATGATGTCGCTTGAGTTTGTGTTATTCCTCAACCAAGGGCTAATAAACACCTGATGTGGGTTTACTCATCTAAGCAGATACTCCTAGATCTGCATGAGTCTGAACGTTTACCTTACTGTCATATCTGACATATTTGGCACTAGGAACGTAGGGGCTTCAGTTACCTATTAGTCATATTCTACTTGGGGGAAGTGCTGAGCACATAGGCTACGTCGTGTACATGCTCCACCGCCGTTCTCATATTCCTGCTCATCTTCCACAATGATTTGTCAAAAGGTTTTCACTTCAAATCTCCACAACATTAGTGAGGTTGATCTTTTGCGAGATTGAGGCGAAATAACTCAGAATGGATAGTGTCATTCATTCAGGCCCAAACTGGATTCCGTGGTGTTCCATTTGTGGCGTATTTTAGTTATCTCGGTTGAAACTCTTTTCTCTGTTCATGTAGCTGTGTTTGAAACTTGCTGAGGATATAGCGGAAATAGGAACCACGTATTTTCAGGAACACAATGAGTCATGTGTTTTTATCAACAGTCACGGCGAGCATGTTCCCTGGTCCGAGCTTGAATGACATTAATGTAAATAAAGAGGAGAACTCAAAGCCGGGAACTTTTATTCAGTTCAGAGTACATAAGAAGAGATACACAACTACTCCTCAAACTGATTTCCGCAAGAGGAACAAGCGCAGAGGAGTGATGGTAATTTGGGATTGAAGGTTGGTGAACACTAGGCTGGCCTCAGGGTCACGGATGTCATATGTTAGTGTGTAGAGGGCATAATAGGAAGAAAGCAGTCATCTCTGAAGTCTGAATGGTCTGCACTGAGTACACAGTTATGAACAAATCCTTGGTCGGAGGATGGAAGGATTCTTATTGTCGACAGGAAAATAGTCCTAATTGATACAGCCATATCTATGTCTTCTGCAGAACAACAATCGCATCGCAATGGCCAACATTTGTGAAGTCTTGTATACATTAACATCATTCACTTTACGTCCCCTTCATTGTCCAATATCCCCTATTAATGCTGGAAACTGCTTGACTTAGATGTCTTGAATAGCTGAACTATAGATGGTCTGTTAGCTCATGGCCAACGTTAATAAATCAACACATTTAGTTATCGACATACTCTACTGGAAACTCACATAAGTCTTGTAGATGTTTGTTTTTTTGTGCCCATCACTTGTTAGACTATGTTCAACGCCCAGAAAAGGTCCAATTGAGATCAAAGATCTAGCAATCTCGGCCTTTAATCTTATTGAGTTTCAATTATTCATATGCCCTAAACCCTAAACAACTTGGAGAGATTTGCTTGACGGTACCCCATCAAAACGTAAATTGTATGGTGGGATCCATCAGGTTTCAATGTACCTGATCGGATGGCACGGAACAGTCCTGGTAACCGGCAAATCGTCTCCTTCAAAACTCATTTTCAAATCGTCTCTTTAACAACTCATTTTCAAATCGTCTCTTTAACAGCGCACAGTTGTTTCAAGGATGAATTTGTCCTCTGCAATTCATGTGCGCAGAAATCATAGTTTTGATAGTTAATTTGATAGTTTTACAAAAGAACTCACGTGCGCAGAAATTATCATTGTGGTAGTATCATGTTGTACATCTACTGGAACATAAATTTGATAGTTTTACAAAAGAACTCACGATTACTAGAGGTGGAAGGTGTAATGCAAGTGGCATTGGTGTACTGCAAGTGTCTTGTATTGTTTCCAGATCCAAAATGGATTTTTCCGATTCAGTGTGCTTGTTCATATTGATTTTGAAACGTGAATGTAACCTTTAATGTTGAGATATTTGCTTGATGGGACCCCATCAAGTTTCGTTTTACCCGTTGGTACCCCATGGACGGTGTGCCGTCGATGAGCTCTAGTAAATGTTCTAATATGAATATGTTCTTGTATTTGTTTTTTTAAATATATCAAAATATAAATCTTGTTGGGACCGCAAGCTTCCTTTTCGTACAATAACCACCCACTAAATCAATTCGAATGAAACTCAATCAATTCCTCAAAGCTAGAAACGAGAAGACTGTCGCTACAGCCAACGTGAGGATGCATGGCAGCAACAAAGTGCTATCATTCTCAGACAAGGACGCTGGAGCCGGAGCCTTTGCGACCATCTTTGTGGCTCCCCCCATAAGGGCGGCGGCGACGAACACCACACTGTTTCTTGCGACTGCAGTCATCGATGCCATTGTGGAAAATGCTCGTCGATACAAAAACCAAGACACTCCGCTGGCCTGCTCAAAAAATGTACGCAGAATGCTCTGCTCTGATTGCGCCTTCTCTGCTATGCGTCCGCTCGGCGCTTTCATGTCCTTTTATCGTTGCAGCAACAAGTCAATGCTTGACTGCTCAAGATTCAAGACTGGAGATGGAGGGCGCGGGGAGTGTTGAGGCCGCTTTCCTGTACTTTTATTGTTGCAGCCGCAAGTCAATGCTTGACTGCTCAAGATTCAAGATTGGAGATGGAGGGCACTAGGAGTGTTGAGGCCGCATAGTTGGTCGTGGAGGGATAACTATGTGAGAGAAGAACATTATATACCCAGTACCAGGTCTAGTAGTGTAGGCGACTCATGAACACACCGTCTGTTCATACTACAGAGTTAAACCTCCCAATAGTGTCAACTCCTATGAGTGACATCCTCCCATTAGTGACATGAAAGTGTGGAACCATTAGTTTCTAACATATAAATCTGTTCAATAAGAACCGTACGTCACTATTGGCAAAAGTGACATGAGAAGATTCAATAATGGCAAGGTGGAGCTATAATGACTATCATAATTATCGAAATATCTTCATAACTTCCGGAGTTAGAATTTTTTTTTTCTATGCTACCAGTGAGGTTGAATCATGATTGTAACTATATTATGAGAAGATTGAATGCGTCAAATGTTAACTGCTCTTGTTACCATCTGCTACTTTTCCTTGACAGACATCAAATATATAACTAACAAGACAAATCCCCAAAATACGTGGATGTTTTGATTTTATGCTCCGAGCATAAGTTAAGGAAGTTTGCTCTGAATTTTGCAATGAAACATATCTTACCAAAATTGATATCAATTTGCACATCATTTGTACAAAGGTTGTTCCAGGGTGACGTTAGTGCTCAGTGTGATCCACACGCTTTGCATTGAGATCATCTAAGTCATATAAGGGACATATTGAAAAATACAATTCCGACTAGAATTTTGGGCTCTTCAACCAGCTCAAATTTCTGAATCATATAAGGGAAAAATGGAAAAATTCAATTTTGACGATTGATATCCATGTTGATTATAACCACCATTCATTGTAATCTAGAGAGTTTTGCAAAATTTTGCAAAATTTACCAAGCAAAATAGGTTATTAATATATCTCAAATGAGAAAAATTGCTTCTCGATTTAGCCATGTAATTCTTTGAGTAGTAAAAAATCTTCTACATGTAATAGAGTACAGAAATCTTAAAAATCTTATATAGTAGAAATTGCTGATATACAGGCAAGTACAAAAATCTTATCTATCTGAAATCTTCTCATTGTGAACATCAAATAGCTGTAATTACACTGATCATTGTTGATGTAAGTTCAAATTTGAACCGCCAAATGATCCGCTAAATATTTAACGGATCCGCTAAACATGCAATAAGAATGTCTCCACATAATCCACTAAATATTATCCAACCTCGTGTGAGTGACACCTCCCAATAGTGACATAAAACTATAGAATCGATTTATGTCACTATTGGGAGGTTTAACTCTGTAGAACAATTTGACGTGTGTAGTTGTTGGGGTCCCATCGGGTAAATCAAAACTTGATGGGTCCCATCAAGCAAATATGTTCTTGATGGGGTTCCATCAAGCAAATATCTTCCTTAATGTTCGGAAGCTTCGATAAATTAGGTTGGGTAGGAAAATCTTGCGGGCTAGAGCATATCTAGTTTTGTTAAACTTCATTGGCACGTGGTGGAAGCCATTGCAAAAACACGATTTAGATTATATTCGTACTAGAACATTTATTAGAACTCAACGACAGTGTGTTGTGAACGTAAATTGAAACTTGATGGGTACCATCAAACAATTTACGTTTTGATGGGGTACCATCAGACAAATATCTCCAACAACTTGGCATCATAATTCAACTATCTAAGATCGTGTGATAAACTCTAAGAAAGATGAACTTTCACCATCAAACATGGTAAATGAACAAGTGGAGGTAGTAAGTTTCTCAATCTTGTTTGAAGTTACACCACTCAATTGTTAATACTTGAATTCTATTACTATATTAGTCTCCCCGTTAGAACAGGCTTCATAAAATGTCGCATTCTTATTTTATTTCCAACATTGAACAATAGTACAACATGCCATAATTGAATTACAAAGACACCAGTCCACGTGCTATCTCGTAGAAAGTTTTGCGCATTTGTGCCATAATGACTCGAACAAACGCCTTTTCAAATCAAGCATGAGGTTAAATACACTCCCGAATTGATCCAACGATTGATAGATGGCAACATCAAGATTGTTCAATGTATTGTTTACATCCACGATAGGCGGTGTGGGAAAAGTGTGAGGGTGTTAGTTAAGTATGCTCTTCAACCGATCGAAAGATCGATAGATGGCAACATCGCGACAGTTCAATATATTTTGTAAGTCCACAGTAGGCGTGAAACGCGGGAGTTTGCTGTCGTGAAGCTCCAAGGAATCAAGAACGCACCGCTCTTTTAGTTCGAGTTCTATTGAAGTTAACTCGTGTGTTTTGTTTTAAATTCTGACTAGCTAAGTTTAGCTAGCAATCGCTTGACCTGGAGTATATAAATCCCAATTGACTCTGTACTGGAAAAAATTATCATATATGAATATGCGTCCATAAATTCTTGCCTATGGACATAGCCCACAGTGGGAGGCTAGATTACATCGTTGTGTAAACTTGTGAGTACTGTCTCACTCATTTTTGTGTCTTATTGTTTGTGATTCTCGGTTAAGTGCTAACAAAATGATATCAAAGCGAGGTGCTTGACAAATTTTGAGTGAGTGTTTTTGAACTAATTTCTTTGTCAATGCTCTTGATAAAATGGATCGCAAGCTCAGATTCAAACACAAGAGATCAGGAGACATGCTCAAATGATGAGACAAGGGGCGAATGATCCATTCTGTACCTTCAATCCATCTTCCATCAGTGAATTTTTTTACTTGCCTTGCAGATTATGTGTCTTCAAAAGCATGACAAGAATCTTGGCAAGTAAAAAAAAAGTATGGATGATTCACACTCATCGAAGAAGGTTGAAAGAATGATCAATCGATCGATGAAAGTAGAGAGAGTTTTGAGAATGCCGATTGTGTTTTAAGACTAATTAGTCTTGCGGATGTAAAGATCCACTTGATCTTAACGTGTAGAAACAAGTAGAAGATACTGGAGTGTCGATTGTTATGATGGCAGTGACAAGTGACTTAAGTAACAAAATGCTGCTAATTTGTAGATCTTGGCTTCCATTTGACAAACAAATGTTATGAAGTCTCTTATACTAGTTTTGTTGGTTTTCATCCATGTTTGTGTACTTTGCCAACATCATACAAATTGTGTAGTTTGTAGTCTCCACCATATCATTAGCATTGGATTTGTAAGAAATGGTCATTCTAAATTGATAAAGAATTGCTCTAACATAACTTAAATTATACTTTCCACAAATTTTTCTCCTTTATTCGATACCAACTCTAGAGTACAACCAAATCTGGTTATGATATTTTCATACAAAAATATACCCATCTCGCTCTCATTAGTAGATTTGAATGATCAAATGGTAAAATAATCAGTAACTATTACAATGAATTCAATTTTGCAAAGAATTTGATTCAAAAGATCTACAAAATCTATTTCTCAT